TTCCAGTTTGCGTGTAGTCACGGTTTGCTCCATGACTACATGGAGGAAATTTTGGGGAATTTGTGTTGGACAATAGTGAAATAGCTTTTTTCAAACAAAGTAAAAGAAAATTGTTAGCAAAGGTTTGTCAATAATCATGTTCGTTGCTTAAAAAATAATATTTATTTTTAAGTGCAGCGCTGTTCCCATGTGTAGCAATCCCACCCCATTGCAGTGAGGCTTTCCATGCTATTTATAAAGCTAAACATGAAACTTTTGTGATATAAGTGATCTTAATGCTTTAACACAGCAGCTCCTGGTTGTAAAGTTTCCAGTGTTTTGTCATGCTGCAGACTGATATGATTTTGGGGTCTCACACCAGGGACCAAGAAGCCAGGGCTGATGAAGGAGGAACCTTCTGCCCAGGAACACCTCCAGGCTCACAGCAGTGAGTGGTGTGTGCTTGGGGTAATCCTTGTATGACCAATTCCATACTCTTCACAAGTTTTTAAATGTAATAATAAATGTATTTAACATTATAAATAATAATGATTAAAAATAAAATATCGTAAATTAAATTATTATTATTGTGTTTATTATTATTGTATTTAAATGCATCAATTTAAATGCATTTGAAAGGACAAATGATTAGTGCAGCAGCAGTGGTATTGTGTTGAGTATAAATCTGTTATTTTGTGTTTCTGATCCTTCTGCACTGAGGGCTTCAGGGAAGAAGGAGGAGCAGCAGTAACTGGGCATGAGGTGACACCCCAGAGCAAGCCTCTTGGACTCAGTTTGTTCACAGTTAGTGCCAGTGATTCTCAGCTGCTATTTGGAGGACTCACAGTTCATTTTTTGTTTCTCTGTCCCTTTTCTTCCCTTTCCCTTCAGCTGGGAAGCTGGGAGCAGCCACAGCAACCTGGCTGTCTTCCTCCACTTTCCTTGTGACGGGCCTGGCAGGGCGTGCTTGGCCACAGCTTTTGCCAGAGCTTTCTTCTCACACAAAAATGTGCTGAGGGACCACATGGCCAGCAGACACTGTCCTGCCTGTGAGGATTTACAGCAGGGCCTGTGGGAAGGGATGGTCCCTGCTCCCTGCCTGTGCTGCAGATGACCCAGGGCCCTTTGCAGGGATACTAAAATATTGTCATGCTCTTTTGTTCATTCCTTGAAATATAAGATTCTACCCTTTTTTGAAACCACAGAGCCAGAGATGGAAAGGCAGCCCTTTGAATCTGTCAAAATTTGACTGCAGGGTTCCTTCCGACCCCTGTGCTAATTTCTAGCAGAGCAGGAAACATTAAAAATAACCATGAGAGAAGATTTCCCAACTCAGAAGGATTGTCCTCTTAATAATCTCTGGCTTTGCTTTCACTATATATTTTCCCCCTTTAAAATTCCTGTAACACTTTAAGAGCAAGTCCATCCCTGCCAGCAGCAGCGAGGGCACTGGAGGGGGATGGCAGAGGGCCAGGGAGCCAGGCCGGCACCTGGGCTTGCTCTGAGCCAGAGGTGAGTGATGGACGTGGGAAATGCCTGCTATTTATTGGAAGAGTTTTTGCACATGAACCAGAGCTTGCAAGTCCTGGGCTTGCTCTGAGCCAGAGGTGAGTGATGGACGTGGGAAATGCCTGCTATTTATTGGAAGAGCTTTTGCAAGCTCCACATCTTCCCTTTTGGGTGAGCTCAAAACTGTTCTCAAGCCTTCAGCTGACCTCAGCAATGGGTGAATCTCATTTTTGCAATGAGAGGTGGCATTTTGGTGCTGTATCTCAAGACTTGTACTGAACTTGTACTGTGAGACAAAATGAAAAATGCATCAGAATTTGTTTTTAAATTCATCTGAATGCAGCCTCTTACTCTGAAGTTGAAATGTTGTATGTCAAAACCAAGGCATGCATCAAGATTATGTGCTATAGTAACGAGCTCTGCTCAAGCTTTTACATTTTATCTGACCCGTGTCTGCATTCTCAGCACAAGGTATAATTATATAACATTAAACAATAGATCATCAATGTGTACCATAAAATATATTAGATCTATAAATAATGTCCTCACCCTGGTGATGGCAAAGGGGGATGCACCATGGGATCACCATGGATCATTATTCCTGCAGGAGCACCTGTGCCTATGTCACTCTTTGTGAGGGGTGAAACCAAGGGGTGTAATTGCAATTATCACTCACCTCTGTGAGTGATTGATTGAGCTCTGTATCACCAGCTCTCCCCACTAATCCAGCTCCTCCTGCTCCAGAAACCTGAGGGCTCCAGACAGATGTTGCAGATGTATTTTCTTTGCAGAACTGACAGTAACAATTTTTCTTTTCTAATAGGGAGGGTGTCCCACAGAGCTGGTTTGCCAGGCACTGAACGCATCTGGTGTGTGGTCAGAAATTGAGATGTGAGCTGGTTACCAGCTGGAAGGGGCCTCTAGGGTCATCTGGGACCCCAACAGTGTGCTCTTCCTTGAGGCATTTTGTCCCACTTAGCCAGTGCAGTGACGGTTTTGGTCAGAATTATGTTTTGGGGGAAATTGGTTGAATTTTCCCTCTATCTTGTTTTAAAGCATTGGGTTTGTCCTAGGCAGAAAGTTCATCCCCTCTGGATGTAGAGAGTAATGAATTATCTTGTGATTACTGTGTGTGATTTAGAGCAAAGGACTGTGATAAAGAGTTAGTGAAGGCACAAGTGAGATTGCTCCCTGGGCAAAAAGCAGAGCCAAAAGCCACTGTGATGCTTTCTATTACCAAGGAATTCAAGGAGAAAACTCTTCTTTTTCATACACTTTTTTCTGGTTGGTTAAGTGCAAGTAATTTTTGCCCTCTCAGAGTAAAAACTTCTATAAAGAGATTGGTTTAAGGGGAGGAATAGAGGGTTACTTGTTGTTTCCCCATTCCTTGTTTATCAAATAAATTAGAGATTGCTTAATCTTTAATTAAAATGACATGGAGGAGAATTCAAATAAAAGACAATAACCATCTCAACACATGGGCACTCCTGAGATTTGCAGGCAGTCAAGTCAGGCAGCCCAGATTTCAGATGTTCTCTCTGCTCTGCCCATGAAATCTCCTGGATGCTCTTGGGAACCCTGCCTTGCTCACACAGACATTTGGCTGGGCAGGTAGAGCAGAATCAATTAAATCTCCAGCCCAGACTAACAAGACATTTAAAAGTCTGTGCTAGTCTTGTCCATTCGGTGCTGTGGCTGGCCAAGAGCCCCTTTGGAACCCTGATGGATATTGTTTCTCTCAAGCATTAAATGCTTTCCCTCAAACATCTTCTGAATAGGCCATTGTTTTTGCTTCTGGATGTCTTTTTGTGGACTGATACAAGAATAGCTAAAAGCTGAAGAACTGGCATCTTATATTTAAAAAATAATAATAATTCTGGGATTTCTGCTCCTCTGAGAAGTTGAATGTGCTGCCAGTTATGTGCTCAGATCCCATGTCTGATCCTATGAAAGTCAGGGATTTGCATCAGGAGCTTCAGATGAATCACCTCAAACAATCATAGTTTCAGGAAAGAAGCTCTGTGAACCTGATGCCATTCCCAGCTTTTAGAATCTAAGGAATTGAGGTGACATAAAGTATGGAGGAGGTGTCAGGGTGGTTTGGTTGTGACCTGCAAGCCTTTGCATTAACAGACACAACTGCTTCATGTCTATTTTTCATGACCACTATGTAGCTGTTGAGTACTCATGGTTCCCTATAAGAACAAGTACACATCACGTGAGGAATATAACCTATCCTTGATCACTTCAGAAATGTCATGTGGGTAAAGGCATCCTCATTTATTTTCAAGTGAACTTCTCTTGCACAGGTCCCCCAGCCCTTGTAACCCAGCTACTGATATCTGCCCAGGTCATCTGGATTTACCTTTTTCCTAACAGAGCTGTGTTCCCCAGAGTTTCATATTCCAGGCACCATCAGCATAGCCATTGCAGACTTATTTTTTCTTTCTCAGTGGCCATTTATTCCTTATCAATGGCTGTGAGCTGCAAGAATGCTCTTTTTAATGCAGCCATTGGCCTCTTCTTACCCACCTTTGCCTCTTTTGCTCAATTTCTCTGTCACAGACATGAGATAAACTAAAAAAGACTCACCCCAATCAGTTCCCTAAGAAATACAGAGAACTTTGGTGCTTTAGCACTGTACCACAGTCCAGACCCCCTTTGCTCTGGTAGGTCCTCGTGGTTCACAGGGCTGTAACGTGGGAGATGTTCCATCCAGCATGTTGGGAGGAGACTGTGCATATTGCACAGGTGTGGCTGTGCAGAACAGGTGCAGGAGGGAGCTGGAGCTGATCCCAGGGTGCAGCTTTGCAGGGGGAATTGAATAATTTGCCACAGGCAGTGGATTTACAGTAACTGGTGTGTGTCCCTTTTCCCCAGAATGGCAGCTCCAGCTGATGACAGGGGCAGCTTTGGCCTTAGAGCATCTGTGCTTCCTCCCTCCCCACATCCCTTATCAAAAGCAATGTTTCCTTTGGCCCAGCACATTCAATGGGTTGGTGTTAACTAAGGGTTTAAGTGCCAGAAATGCTGGGGAATTCACCATTTTCCATATTGGTGCAGCAACCCTAGAAACAGGAGACCTGAGGAAGAACTGGGATAACAGAGTGCTTTAGGAAAAATGCTTCAGATCCAAGGTTGATGTGAATCACTCATGGATCTGCTCAGTTTAACCAAATCAGGCATGTTTTACTGCTGCTTGTTTTGACTTCCAAAACCTCAGGGAGTCCCAGGCGAAGTGCCAGAGCAGTGTCACCTTACCCCTGTCACTAATCCTGTCGCTTCCTTTCACCCTCCTTCACACTCTGCAAACTGTTTGATGCCTCTTACTGTGCCTCTGTGAAACCTTCCTGCTGGATTGCATGGATGGAGGAGTAGGTAAATCATAGAATCATAGCCAAAGACTAAGTAAGTAGAGTCTCTTTCAGAGCATGCCTCATAATGCTATGTTTGAAACTTTTTTTTTTTCCTTTTCATTTTTTAATAATACACTCTTTTCCTTCCTTTTTCAGGGGCCCCTTGGCTTGGATGGCAAACCGGTAAGTAGCACTAAGTGCCAAATATAACATGTCTTTGTTCATGCTGCTCCACAATAAACAGGCAGTATCTCAACCATTACTCATTCAGTGCTACATATATAACTGTTTAGGAGGAACAATTGTACTTGGGAAAATTATTCCATGCATGTTTGAATTCTGAGCCAGGGCTGGCCAGCAGAGCTGGAGGTGAACTTTTCTTTACCTGTCAGCTCATCTCAGGTGCCTCTTCCCCTCCTGCCCCAGCTCAGGGAGCACAGACTGCAGATGGACATCAGGCCAAATTTTGGGAATAAACTCCAGTAGCACATTCAAAGAGCAAAGTCAGTGATCTTGGTTGTGTGCTTCTGGCACTACAGAGTGATACCATAAAAATAATTGATCCCAAAGCAGGTTCCATTTTCCTCCAAAGGACATGAGCTGGGAACTGCTTGAGGGTGCCCAGTGTCCACGAAATACTTTTTGGAACAGACTGGATTAATTTATGAGCTGTTTCCTTGACTTCATTTTTGCTTGGAAGCCCTTTGGATATTCAGGTGCTTCATTCTTTTCTTACTTATTTTACAGAAATGCAGACTTTTTTTATTTTTATGCTAATTGAACCCTAGCCAGCTCTGATTCCTTCCACCAAATTGTTTCTACAGAAGGTCACAACTCCATATTCTGTCTCCAAACCCCATTCTCTTCCACCACCTTCACCAGAGGGCCCCATATGAAATCTTTTTAAATTCTGGTCCTAAACCATGTGGGATTTCAAAGTGGGTAAAAGTCATTCAGTCTTTACAATTGAAAAGCTACTCCAGACACTTATTTCCATCCAGTTAGGGAGTGTGCTGTTATAGCCATACATTGCTGTGGTTGGTTTTTATCCTAACCCTGAGGATAGCAAATGTGAATAAAATCTAGAAATAAAGCATTAGACAAGAAAAGAAGGAAGGGCTTGGCTTTCATTAGCAAAACCTCATGCTGAGAGTGCAGCCAGACCCCAGGGCACAGCCCTGCACCCCCAGGCTGGGGTGCCACTGCAGGGCAGGAGTGAGACCCCGAGTGAAATCTCAGTGACAAAGCAGACTTATCACACAGCCAGATTCAAGACAGACTGCTCATGATCTCTTCCATGACAGAAAGGGGCCAGCAGCCTTGCTCAGAGAAAAGCAGTGGCAGGGAAGCTGTGTGGGCATGCTGCAGTGGGGGGACCTTCCCCCACCGGGTCCCACTTCAGCACACACTGGGCACTGGTACCAAGAGTTGGTACTTTTCTGTGCTGGAAGGCAAATGCAGAGCAGACACATCAAAGTGCTGCTCTCGGGCTCTCTCTGGGGCTGCAGTGCCTCTGCCTGTCCTACAGACAGCTGCTCAGAGGGAAGATGAATGATGCCTTCAGCAAACGGGCCAAAGAAAGCAGCCTGTCCTCCTTGTTTATTTCAAACAGATGTATAATTGTTGTAATGATATTCTGAGCATGTGCTTTTTCTAGAAGTGATTTACTACCTCAGGGTTATCTGTTGCATCTATTTAGAGTCACGTGTTGGTGAGCTGCTGTCACACTGCCTGCCTTGCTCTGGTGCTCTGTACTCTGTCCCAGCAGGAGCAGGCAGGACCTCGTGGGTGCTTTTTGGTAAAGTGTTGCTCATGTCAAGCACTGCACAACTTAAAATAGTAGCATGTATTCCTTAAAATCATAGAGAATGTGGCTCAGATTTGTGAATTGATGAATGTGATTTCCTTGGTTTTCATGTCACTTGCATTGGTGATTCTGCTGTTCCTTAATTTGGATTCTTCTTATGTGTTTCCAGGGACCTCCAGGACCAAAAGGGGAAAAGGTAAAGGCTGCATTAACACGTGGATTTTGGGGAAGCAGTTCCTGTATATCCTCCTGTTGCTGTAATTCTTACAAGTTCAGGTTGCCCCAATAACCCAGCTGGGTTTTGTTGGAGCTGTTAGAGTGGGTTCTCACATTGCTCTTGGAAAAGCTCCATGAAGGGGAGGGCAGGAGGAATTTGCAAAAAAGGTGGGGGGACAAGTGTGGTCTTAAACCTCATCTATGCTATAGGGTTCTGGTTAGCCACTAAGGGTGATGAGAGTATAAAACTCTTCATTCCTGCCAGAGGTCTGGGCTCCATCATGTTTGCATGACACCCGTGCAGTCAGAGGAGCCAGAGAAGGTCATTACTGAAAGTGAAGTCAATTTTCACATGTGAAGGACATAAGCAGTTGCTAGGAGAGCCTTAGAGTTGGAAACAAACTGCTATTTCTGATTTATAATCTGTTTCACTGCCTGCCAGGGCAGAATCTTTCCCTATTGTGTTTTCTCAAAACCTTCTCCTCCCTCACTTTAAATACATTAAACAATAGGACTCTTGCCCCTTCCCTTGTGTGCTGTACCCGTGTCCAGCTTACCCTGTGCTCAGTCCTTCAGGGCTGAGATTTGAACTCTGACCCTTTGCTGTTTTTCCTGATTTGCAGGGGGAAGCAGGAGACATTGGCCCAAGGGTAAGTAGTGACACAACACTGATTTGTTCTGAAATCTGGTTGGGTTTAGTCACTGCACAAAACAAAGCCTTGCTGCGAACAGTATGGTAACAGTTGTGGAAATCTTCTGGAGCTCTTTGTGGTGATGATTTTCCTAACTCTGGCCATGAGGAAAAAGGAGTCAAAGTTCTTTGGGTACCTCATGGAGGTTTTGCTTCTACTGAACCTTCTCATCCCTGATTTCCTCTTCCAGTGTCAGAGACAGACTCCATGTTTCTCTTGAAGTTCATCTTGAGGCTGTGCTCCTTATTTGTTGGCATTAGAGCACCAGCATGTGGGGGTAGGACCTGGTGTCCCCAGGAGATGTCCAATATGGAGTTGTGCAGGATGGAATGTTCCTTCTCCCTTGCTGAGCTCTCCACCTGGGAGCAGGATGGCATCCAGGTGATATCCAGGCTGCCTTTGAAAATAAAGGGGTTAAAGTAGCTGTGTGATGAGGGAAAACTCTTTTGGTTACAGCATGCAGAAATTAATGGAATTTCATTACATTTCCTCTCACGGAGCTGCACAAAGTTAAGATTTACTGAGGTAAATCAGGACAGGTCTCCACAAGACACAAAGGGGATATGTCCCATGTTGGGATGAGATGAGAGGTTTCACCACGAGGTGTGGGCTCTGTTGCAGAGGTATTTCTGAGCTGTGGTTGTCTGTGGATTATGGGCACCTGCTGCAAACCCCACTGTAGATGTGCTGGGATCCTGGTGTACCTGTCACTGTAGGAGGCTGGATTTGGAGCTGGCACTCAGGAGTTGGCTGACCTGGGTTAGATGTCATTGCTGGAAACATGACCTGGACCTCAGTGGTTAATGTCGAGTAGAGATGCTTCAGAGACATTTTTCTCTTTTCCCCTGGAGGCTGTAAAATCACTCCATGAAGTTGGTGTCATGTTCTGAAGCAGCTCCCAACTGCCTTGGGTGTGTTTGGAAATGTCACCCTGGGGCTCAGAGAGCCCCTAAAATTTCTCAGATGGATTTATGGCCTGTGTGGTGAAGGAGGGGCTCGGCGTAAGGCCTCACTTGGTCCAAGTGCCCACCCACGTTCTCAGAACTGGCTTTAAGAGGTGATCCAGCAGCACAGGGACCTGGGTTTTCACTTCTCAGCCAGGGCTGTGGGTGCCTTTGGGGCTGGCAGCTCGGGAATGCTGGAGGAGGTGCTCAGGCTCCAAAGGCTCTGTGCTGCCAGGCACTGTGGAACTCACCTCCTGCTGCAGGAGATGCTCTGGGACAGGCTCTGTCTGGACTTGCAGGGCAGGTACCAGCTCTCAAGGTAACACTTGTCCTTTGCCTTCACCTACCAAGAAAATTGTGCTGGGTTTGGGGGGCATATTTTGTCCTGATCTGCATTTTTCCAGGTTTTGCTTCAGTTTTTGATTTATTTATGACTTTTTACAGAACGGTGAGAAAAAGGCTCAAAAATAATTTGAGAGAGAAAAGCCTGGCACAACCATGCACAAGTAGACTTAAAAACAGGTGCCTGACTTTGTAAATAGCTCCCTTTATGTCTCCAGACATTCAAAGTTGTGAATAAGAGGCAAAACTTCTTAATACCATCTGTCTAGATTACTTTTTATTTCTGAATTTAATCTATCTTATTCCTCAAGTTTCAGTGGTAGGTTTGTTTAGCTGATTTTGAAAGATGTGTCAATGCAACTCACTGCATCAATGGGAAGATAAATAACTAGGACTGTCCCCAGTGCCCTCTTCCTTGTAAATGGTCATGTCCATGGGAGTGGAATGAGGATAGAGTGTGTCAGTGAGCACCAAAACACTATCATTAGCAGTGATGGATTAAAAGAGAATAGTCCTTGGGGTGGCTTTGGAGGGACTGTCTGTGATGGCAGTGAGGTGATGGCAATTGGGGATTAGCTACTGATCTGTTCATGTCTGCACTGCTTCCCTTTCTGTAATGAACACCTGCCAGCAGTGTGGACAAAACCAGAGATTATTACACATGGGAGTGTGCCTGGTGGGAGATGCTGGAGGGTGATTTTGGAAAGCTTGGGTTTGTCTTCATCACTGAATGCTCCTTGTTGTAAGCAGCATTAGGGAGGATGCTGTGCAGCCTCACCTGCTCAGGATGAGGAATAAATGTGCACAAATGTACTGACAGAATGCATGGAAGTGTATTTACAGGGAGAAATCACTAACTGGTCCCCTCTGCTCTCGGGAGAATAGAGAGAGTTGAAGCAGGATGCTGCTGGGGTTGGGACAGCTGTGCCCTGATATTTGTGCCTGTGCTTCTCTCTCCCAATCAAATACATTGCTGCACCCCTGGAAAGGACTGGATTTATAAGCCTGACTTGCTCCCTGAGCTGGCACTGGGCCAGCTGCTCTGGATTTATGAACTCAGCTGGGTGATCTTGCTCGTACTGACAGATGAGATGTTCAGACAAATGATGGGGCTGAGGAATCCTTGCACATCTGGGCCAGCTGATGCACAGTGCCTGTGGCAGCAGCGCCAGCTTTGCTCTCCAGAGGGGGAAAATGAGCTTCAGCTGGTGGGAGAGCTGCTCTGTCTGCATGGCCCACTGGCACATGCCTGCCCATGGCCAGGGCTGATGGAGATGGCTCCAGCATCTCCTGCATCTGGAGCTGCTGGGGGCCAAACACTGGCGTGGCTGAAGCAGCTCTGCAGCTCAGTGCAGACACAGCTCAGTGCTCCCTTCTTTTCTGCAAAATTATAACTGCTGGCCAAGCTCACACTGCAGATAAAAACTCAGCACTGGAAGGATCCTGCAGAGATTTCTGTGACAGTCAACAGACATCTATGGATACTTTTATTTTATTATTTGCTGACTTTGGAGTGTTATGTTGAAATGACTACATCGAGGACTCTAAAGCTGGAATTTACCAGTGTTCAAGGGTTCTGTGCTCCAATATTCCATTGCTAGATGGGGTCAGACCCAACAGCCTGTTAGCCCAGTGCCTTGCAACCTGATGCTCTGGGAACTCTGGAGCAGGAATGTGTTACTCCATCACACTTAACCCCTCTCCTGGAGCCTGGATGTTTCCTGAACCAGGGATGGTGTCTCTCATACCCCTCAGGGCCGTTCACCTCTCATGGGCCCATCTGTAACAGGAGCCATTTAAAATTAAACGTGTGATGGCTGGATTTAGTGGGATGTGGTGTGTTTGGCCCTGGAGCAAATGCAAATTGTTATTTTCCATTAAAACAGATAGGGCTGGGCTTGGAACATGCTTATTTGGATGATGCCCACCAGTCTGAGAAACCTGAGAAAAAAAATTCGGTTCCTGTTTTTCTCTATGGGGTTTTATGAAAATCCCACTTTATGCTCTTTTGTACTTTATGCACATAATGAGCCACAGAACTGTGTCCCTTCTGTTTACCACAAACCCCTTTGCTCTCAGTAGAGTCTTTTTGGTGGTTTCTGTAGTATTTAGAGGACCTGGCCACGTGCAAGGGTTCTGTGTCCTCATTAATTTTATTTTCTCAGTATTTCAGTGCTGTTCTTCCCAAAAGTAGCTGCGTTTAACTGTGTTGAGCTTAAAGCCCCTCTCTACATCTTGAAAAAAATTCTTGGTAGGGGCTTATGTTCTGGGATTGGTTATTTTTTTCTATCTGACTTTATTTTTTCCCTCTCCTGTTGTCTCGATGGTGTTAAAACATCTGTACTGGGAGGCTGGGCAGGGGGTGGCCTTGCCAGTGCACTATTCCCCCAAAACCGAGGTTTGGGGTTATCTTTTATTGGTGTGCAAGGTTTAAGTGTTCTTTGGCAATTTGGAAAATAGGTTTGTTCCCCATAAACCTCCAGAAACCCTCATGGAGGCTTTGCTGTGTGTTCCCACAGGGCTTCTTGTGGCTTCACTCCACCCTCTTGATTCCCCTGTGGATGGGTGGATGGGGGAAAGGGGGATGCACGTGGTGTCCTGAGAAAGGAAATGTCTTCCTGCTTCTCCCCAGACAGATGAGTGGAAAGGCTAAAACACAATAGCAATGACTACTGATACAGCCTAAATACATTGTTTTTGCATCATATAAATCTGGGAGATTTATCTGCAATTTGCAGGCTGGGAATACATCAGTATTCATTTGAGCCTCTGAAAACAAATACAGTATTTGGTCTCAGGGAAATGCTGGGGTATATAATCCCCTATGGAGTTTACTGGAATAATACTCATTATTCTGCAGTGGGGGAATCCTTTCCCCAGCTGCTTTGAATGTCCTATTGTGCAGTAAACTAGCGAAAAAATACTTGTTTCCCTCAGTCTGTGTCCTGTTACAAAGATCCAGTGTACCCAGAACCTTAAACCCCCGTGTTGGCTACCTAGACTATTACTTTCCAATGTATCAACTAGTTATTAAAAATAAATGTTATATATTGCTACAGCCTCTAAAACTCACTCTTCTGCTGTGCTTTCATCTTAAACTGCTGCTCTTTCTTCTTCTACCTCCCACTTTCCCTGGATATAGATGGTTTTTCCCCACCTCAGTCATGGATTTCTGGCTAATGATCAGCTTGTCTTTAGCCGGCGAGTGCTCAAGGTAGACTCCAAATCTGCTGCCACTGGTTTGCTGTGATTGAGCTGCTTTTGCTTTCTCTTTCTGGCTGACTGTTGCTATTTTAAATTGCCACAACCATGGCTGTGTTTAGAGATGCTTGTTGGAAATTTTAATTGAAATCCCATTGGAATTTAGGGGGCAGGCATTGTCAGAGTAAATTGGGAATCAAGCAGCAAAGTCCTGTAAATTTGATATAAACAGTGTTGGTATTGTAAAATAAAATGCATTAAAACTAGAGTAATCTAAATCCTTGAACTCTAAATGGGACATTGTAATTAGGAAAAATTCAGTGGGAGACTCAACTTGACATAATTGCTTGCAGTGTTCAGCATTTACAATTGGGTTTTTTTAAAAAGGATGCAAGTGATTTAGGAGCCCAGATCTTGTTGAAAGGCCATGGGACTTGTGCTGCTAAGTCACTTAAGGACTTCTGAAAAATCCCACACTTGTCCCTGATTTGAGGGTGGACTGCATATTAAACCCAGCCCTCGGTGGTGACTCTCCCAGATGTTGCCACAAGATTTACGAGGCCGCCTTTCCCATTGTGCAGCCGATGGATGGGCCAGGCCCCGGGGCTGGGCTGGGCTGGGCTGGCTGCTGGGGGGCCAGGAGCTGATTCCCAGCCTGGAATCAGCCCCACGGGGTGCTCCCCTTGGGAATGGCACCCAGCAGACCTGCAGGGACACAGCAACACCCAAAATCCGCAGGGTGCGAGCGGCTCGGGAGGTCCCTCTGTGAATGTGGCTGTCTAGGATGACATTAAGCACTGCCACTTTTTTTTTGTGGTTTTCTGGCGTGGTGCACGGAGCCATGGCAGTGTGTGCATGCTCCCTGCCAGCATGGTGTGAGCCTGGGCTGCTCTGGGTGCTGTTGGCTTGGTGGATTCCATGCAGACAATCACTGGGTAAGGGCTTAAGCAGATTAAATCTCGTTGTCGAGCACAATCCTGGTTGAGGAACCAGACCCAAATGGCAAAAATTGGCAAGCTCACTTTCATCTTTCCCAGCTGCTGCTGGGAAAGCTGAAAGCTGAACAGTTGGAAGATGCAGTTAAATTTCCCTGGACCAGCAAGGCCAGGGTGCTGTGAGCCCAGGGATGCAGTGCATGTGTCGTGGACACCCTGAGAGCACCCCTTGCCAACACTGCTTCATCTCACCATGTCTGTGTGAACTTCTTCCAGGGTGATCAAGGTCGAGATGGAGCCACGGGCCCCCCTGGTCCACCAGGACCCCCAGGTGCCCGGGGGCCTCCTGGTGACACGGGAAAGGATGGCCCCAGAGGACCTCCAGGCTCCCCTGTAAGGACGGGAGATGCGCAGCGGGCGCCAGCAGCTCCCACCCCCCGAGGGACAGCGGGGTGAAGGGTGTCCCCTTCCCCAGGGCTGCCACCACAGCCACTGAGTCCCCAGCCTGAGGCTCAGCTGGGCTCCAGAGGCTGCTCACAGAGCCAAGCCTCGGGGTGTGGGGCAAGGGAGCAGGAGGGCACCTTCCCTCTCACGGTTTGGAGCACAGAGCTGGACCTGGGGTGTGTTTGCAGGGCTGGTTCTGACTGACACAGCCAGGAGATCTCTTCCCCAGTTCATACCCTTTGGATCACCTGTTGCAAAGCTGAAGACCACTGGCAATTTATTTAGTAAAAAATAGGCTAAAGCATAGCACAGTGGAACATTCTAATTATTGCTGAGCATTTTGGAGAATGAGAGGTGATAGTTTCAATGTTGGTCTTTTTGGTTTTTGCAGGGTTTCAAAGGCGAGCCAGGAGAGGATGGAGTCATGGTCAGTATTACCCAGAAGGATCTCTCTGTGTGTCCCTCGCCCCCACTGTACATCACCCTTCAGCTCACTGCAGCAAGGGGGTTTGCGTCATGGCTCATGGAGGACAAAAAACTCCTCATGGAATTATAGGTGCCCTAAAATGGATGTTTGTCCATGGCTACCTGTGCCCTGCGGAGAAAAGAGGCCAGGTTCTGTGTCCCCTGGGCTCTTCTGGAGGGACGTGGTGCTCCTGTATCCTGACTGCTGCCCCTCTGAAGTCACCTGGCATTGTGACTCCAAATTGCTAAGGTTTATGTTGGATAAACAGGTGTTTACTGTACATAAAATACATGAACCATAAAAGGATATTTACTGGGAGCACAGAGAACAAATACAGCTCTGTTTGTAAGGGAAGATGAGAAGTTGACATCTGTGTCATGTTTTTTCTTGGAATTAAAATACTCTTAGAAATGTTTTTATCCTGTTTTACTCTGTTGTCAAACAATTATATCTATCACTCTTATATTCAACAGGGTGCCAGAGGACCTCCAGGACCAAAGGTGGGTAATAATCTGCCTAATTTTAACATGAATTCTTGAAATAATGCTGCATAAGAGGGATGGGGATGAAAATAAGCATTTTGCAGTGGACTTGAACCCATTGATGTATATCAGACATAAAATTCCAAGGCATTGACTGGGTGTAAATATTTGAATGTGTCACTTCCTCAATATCCACTGCCCATGCTCAAAACTGGAAATGGGGCTGGAGGGACCTGCAGGGGGCTGCAATCTGCTGTGTTGTGGGAATGTGCTTTCTTGCATTTGGGGGGATAAATATGATCAGCACAAGCTAAGTATTTTAATTTTACAATTAATTTTGATTATAATAATTTGCCTTATTTTCTGTCATGTCCCTAAATTTCTTTCTCTTCTGTTGATATTGCTGTTGAAGGGTGAGCCTGGTGTCCAGGGGAAAAAGGTAAAATGGTGATTTTTTTAAAAAATTCATTTATTATTTTATTTATTTATTTATTTTCCCTTTGCTTTGCTCTGTGCTTGGCTAGGGAAACCATTGCCAGAGGCTGGTGTAGAAGCTGTGTCGTGGCTGTCCACACCAACCATTCCCTGTGTTCCCTCAGTTTCCCTCCCACACCACCCTGGGCTGGGCATAGCTGTGCCTGCAGCCTGGCTTTCATTTCCACAAGTGAGCCAGAGGCTGCAGGCACATCTGCCCAACAGACAAAGAATAAAACAGCAAATGCCAAGCAAAGCAGTAGGTCTGGAGCCCTTTCTCTCCAATAGTTCAATGAACCAAGAGGTGCCTGGAGGATGTTCTCTGCCCAGGGAATGGCTCTGGAGTTCCTGGGATGGCCATCACCAAGCAGCACTGCAGTCCCATGGGAAATGTCCTCTTGAGGGCCAGGAATGCTGCTGGGGTGTGGAAGTGAAGATTGTGAGAGATTCACATGCCCAAGCTCTCCACGACAGTGGTGCCATTGAGAAGTGGATAAATCACTGCCTTTAAGAGAAGTCAAAGCACTGACAGGGCCCAGCCTTTCCCTTTTACTCTTTGGCCCAATAGAGGAGTGGCCATGGGCATTTTTTCAGGCCAGAATTTGGCTTTAACATTTCATAACTGGCTGGTAAAACTAAACTCGTCAGCATCCATGAAGTGGTTTTACTCCAGGAGAACAACAAAGCACAAGCAAAACCAAAAACCTCCTCCTGGCAGAGGGTGTTGGTGGCTTGTGATGAAGTCCGTGAAGCAGCTACAGGAGGTCTTTGGGGCCCAAAATGCCTTAAGGAATTTAATGTTTAGTTCCTGTTGAAGGTGGGAGAAGACCTTTACCAGGGCCTGCTGTAAGCAAATTCTGGAAGATGCCCATCCACCTTCCCAGGATCAGGGGAGGCAGGGCTGGGTGGGAGCAGGGGATGACACTGGAGCCTCCTGTGCTCCTTGCTGCAGCTCTGTCCTGGTTGCCTGCAAACCTGAGAGAGTTTTGGGTCTGTGCAACAGCCAGTGAGATAAACTGATGTGTTGGAACCTACTAAGTGTGTACCAGGCCTGTGTATTTAACTTTTTGTATTTTGTTCCATCAGGGTGATGATGGGATCCCTGGGGAACCAGGACCTGTGGGCCCTAAGGTACGTCCTGCTCTGTCCCTCTAATCCATGTGTTGGGCTGCATCTTTTGCCCTCTGGTTTTTGCACCATATCACAGCTGGGGCAGGAACATTTCTCTTCTGGTGTGGAAAAAGATCAAAAAACTGTGAGGGTGGTGAGGCCCTGGCACAGAGTGCCCAGAGCATCTGTGGCTGCCCCATCCCTGGAAGTGTCCAAAGCCAGGTGTAATAGGGCTTGGAACAATCTGGAACAGTGGAAGGTGTCCCTGGACATGGCAGGGGTTTGGTACTGGATGATCTTCAAGACCCCTTCCAACACAAAACATTGTGAATTTATTATTCTGTGCTGTGGTTTTGGGGTCAGCTTCATGGCTGAACACACCACCCACAGCCAAACTGCTGAATCTGAAAGCTTCACTTTTGTCTTGAAAACTCCCCGTTTGCACCTGGGCAAGGTGAAATGTTTCACAGCTGAAAGCAGAGCTCTGCTCCCTCATGTATGTAAAATGAAGATAAATTAAAATGATAACATGAAGAAATCTTTTCTCCATCCTCTCTGTACAGCATTTATCTAAAGGGCTTTGTTTTCAGGGAGAAAAAGGAAGCGTGGGTCCCAAGGGAGAGAACGGCACAGATGGCTTCCCAGGAATAAAGGTAAGGAAAAGCTGGAACTCTGGGCACAGCCCTGCTGAGGCAGAGGATTCCAGCTGAGGAGGTGTTTTGGACCTTTGCCTTCTAAAAGCCTCATAATGTGCCAAAACTGACACAAAAGGAGTGATATTAAGAGTGTTTTAGCTTTTCCTGGTGATTTGATGAAAGCCTGGTTCAAGCAGAGATCAGTATAAGAGCTTGTAAGTCATCCACTTGCACATTTTCCACTGAATTGCCTTTTTCCTCAAAAACTGTGGAATTCTGATCACATTTTGATCCCATGTTATTGATGGCTGTGGAATTGCTTCAGAGCCCCAAGCACTTGTGAGCTGCCCTGTTCTCCTGACCTCCAAAGCTGCTGAGAGATAAAATTAGTCTGGGTTTGTTGGGTGGTGCTGAGGAGCCCCAGACACCATCCATGGGCTGCTATTTACCCCTCAGCTGCTTTGTGTTTAGTAGGATCTGGATGCACTAATATTTTCTATATCAGAGAGTCATGATCCCTTATTGGGCAAGACAGTGTGTGTAAGGAAGAAACTGGGCTCTGGTGAACTTTAATAAACTCCTCCTAGAACCATTGAATTTAGGTTTTTTCTATACATTTTTCCCATTTTTTTACTTTTTGGACAGCTTTAATTTGGTCAGCAAGGGGATCAACATGGGTGTGACAAATGGGACATCTTTTGAATCCTGAACAGAATTTCAGGTCATTACTGTAAGAGTGCTATGACTTCTTAAAACCCTCCAATTAAAAAAAAAAAAGATGAAAAGGAGGGTAGGGGAAAAAATAAAAAAAAGAGGAAGAAAAAAGGAACAATTTGGCACAGAACTTTTCCTCAAACTCCCCCTTGAAAATGGTTTAAACATCTCAGCTGAAACTTTCCACATGCAAAACTCAGCCTGAAGCAAAGGGAGCCATGTGGAACCAGCACAAAGAGATGGAGCTCAGCACACAGGGCAGGGAGAGAGCTGGAGAGCAGCGCAGCCCATACAGGGAGCTCAGCCCCGGGCTGGCCACTCCTCTCCCCCTGCAACGAGACCTCCTCTTACTCCTCTTGTTGTTACACCAACGTTGTTTTTTGCTAAACATTTTTCCTCTCAGGTCAAATCTATTTTCTGCTAGGAGAAGCAGTCCCTTGTTGGTGTCATAATTTTTCTTAAGCTAAAGCATATCTTTAGGGTGGGTACGGTGTTTTTAAGATAAATATTTTATATTTTCCTTGGTCTCATTGAAAAAATGTGATTTTTGATTTTCAGGGTGAACCTGGTGAGAAGGGAGGAATTGGCTCCATTGGACCCCGGGTATGGATGTTCAGGATTTAATTTTGGAGCTGTGTATTTGTCTCAACCTTAGCTGCTCCCCACCACCTCCTTCTGCTTAGTATGTGGATCAATTGCTTCAGGATGTGTTCAGTGTCAGAAAATAGAGATGGTGCATATTTAAACAAATGCTTGCACAGGTATTGAATGCTGGCATGGGAAATCAGTCAAGTCCAATTTTCTTATACTCATGACCATTCTGTGACCCTTTTTTCTGCAAGAGGGAAGCTGGGAATAGGGGTGATCAAGTGAGGATTTTTATGCTCTTCTCCATTACACAAACTGATGGCCTTTTGAGGTTTTTCAGTTCCAGCTGTCAGACTAAGGACTGGTTAAATCCATGCTGTTTGTAAGGTGATAACCCCCAAACGCTGCGTGTCAGGTCTTTGCTTTCATAGCAGCCACCTCTCCGCGCTGTAGGATTAAACAGGATTCATCCCTGCCTGCAGGGTCCCCCTGGGCTGAAAGGGGAGCAGGGAGACACCGTCGTGATCGACTACGACGGCCGAATCCTGGACGCGCTCAAGGTAAGCCCTGCGCCAGGGCTCGTGGGACAGGACTGAAATCTGCCAACATCTGCCGTGGTGGCAACGTGTCCACCCTTGTCCTTGTCTCCTCCTGAGGTTGCTGTCTTGGCACAGAGCTGGTTGGGAGGGAAGAAAGAGCTGGTTGCATTGGGGGGCTGAGGATATTTAGGGTGTAGCAGCAAAAGCAGTGGTGGAGCTTGATGGCAGCAGTTGGGGTGTGGGAGGAAGGGGAACAACACCTGAGCCTTTGCCTGCCCATCTGAACAGTGCCCTGACCTTTTCATTAGGATGAAATAAGCTGAATAGAATAACTACTTAATTACAGGCATATTTGAGAACCATCCTAATTGTTTTATAACAGGCTGCAGGGATACACAAAGTGCTGGTAATTTCCGTTTGCCAGATGTGTGCGTGGCATGCAGCTTTAGGAGTGGAGTGCAGTGGTTGGAGAGGCTCCATCAAATGTCTGGAGGCTTCACCTGCTGGACCCAGACCCTGTCCCTTGTTCTGCATGCAGAAACTGCTGAGGGGCACTGAACCTCACTAACTTTGCTGTTTTCCTGCTTACTCGCTGTTTGCAGTGTTTGTGCACTGACCTGTCTCTAGGACAAGGCTCTGGAAAGGCTTCCAGTGTGACTAAGTGTAACAGCATTTGAGTGTGCAGCCATGGAGAAAGGTGCTCCAGGATATGATACTGGTTTGGCTTCCATCTGAGCAAGACCACAAATTTTGCTGCTTGAAATAATTTGCAAGTTGGAAAATATTTGTTCATCTCAAGGTGGTTTGTGGTCTTTGCATCCAGCAGTGCCCAGGGAAAATAACTTCTTTACGTGTGCAAGGTTTTCCTGTTGTTAGTGCTCACACAAACTCCTTTTTTCCCCTCTTTAATTGCACCTCCCTGGCTGGCTGACAGTTTTCAGCACGATGCTGCTTCCCAGGCTGGCTGGCTGGAGCGGGCATGATACAAAAGGAGACCATCAGATTGGGGTCCCACCTCCAGATAAAGGCATTTTGCCTCTTAGCCCATGTCTTTGCAGCTGTACACCTGACTGGCTCCCACTGTGTTGTGTTCTGCATGAACAACCCCGTGGCAGAGGAACCTCGGGCACTCTGTGGCAGCTGAGCTCATCTCAGTGCTCGGACAATCCACTCACCTGAGTGTCTCTGGCAGATCGTGGCTGGGAGTGCTCATCCCCACAGCACGAGCACAGCCAAGTCCATGCCAGTCATGATCAAACCTGTTTTGTTTGTGTTTCAGGGTCCACCAGGTCCCCCAGGGCCACCGGGCCCCCAAGGCACTCCAGGTCCCAAGGTGAGCCTGGCCTCTGCCAAGCTACGGCAAGATGACCAAGCTGTGGTCAGTAGTAGCTCTCCATGAAGAGTCTCCCAAGCCAAAATAAGGCAGTCGAAGCTGCCTGAAGAGGAGTTTGAGGCTGTGTGTGCTATTTAGCCCTTTCTCTGACTGAAAAAACAGTGGCTTTCACACAAAAGCCAAAATGTTGTTGACCTGTCTCTGGCCTTCTTCCAGAGGATGCTGTCCCAGAAACGAGTCCAGTCCCAGTTCCACACCTGACAGTCAAAATCCCAGCTCCTCTGAGACTGCCCCGTTTGTCTGTGGCAGGAGGCAGAAGTGGGAGAAGCAGTTGTGAGAGGGGCTGGCAGTCCTGTGGCTGTGCTGAGCCACCCTCATTCCCACCCTTCCTATGTGCTGTTTGCTGTCCCAGCGCTGTCCCAGGACCTGGTGTCCTCCTGCTTCACAAGCAAGAGTCTGTAACCTGCAGCCAGCTGTTTCTTAAAAAGAATAATGTAATTTGTAGAAAAGTATCTCTTGAAATAATAGGATGGGACAGGATTTCAGTGCCTTTTGAGGCCTCTGTGCCAATATCCAGATCAGCTGGAGATGCTGGTGGGTCACTGACGCCTCCTTGGTCCTAAGCCTGGCAGTGGCAAACCCATAACCACAACAGTTGTGTGTGAATAAGTAATTTCCTTGCACAATGCTTTCCAAGGATGAAGCCTTAATTTAATTTACCATGGGCTCCCCTTTCTTTGTCTCCCTCCAGGGAGAGCTGGGCTTGCCAGGTCCACCTGGAATGGATGGTGAAAAGGTGAGTGAGGCACGGCCGGATCGAGCGAGGCCTTGCCAGGAGCCAAATGAAAAGGAAGTTTCCTGTGTGTCTGAAAAACAAATCCAGCATGCCAGGAGTGAGCTCTGCTGTGTAGGGGCAGCTGTGTCTCCCTGAATTGATGGTCCTTTGCCTGCAGCCCATGCTCTGCTCTGAGCGTGCTGATGCTGCTCGTGGCCGTGTCTGCCGAGCTGAAGGGGCTCCTTTCACAAGCAGCTCATCAGATGCTGTCTCAAATCTTTTTGTAAACCTTCCCAACCCCAAATGGCTGCAATCCCTCCTGCAGCCCAGCCAAATTCTGCTGCACCCTCAAAATTGGCATCTGTGAGGATGAATGTTAAAACATGTTCTCATGAGCTCGCGATGCGGAGGGAACAGCAGAAAGGCAGAAGTGGCTGCTGTGGGGGGTTGTTTTCAGAGTTTTCTCCTAAACATGCTGTATTCTCTCAACTTGCAGGGTCCCAAAGGAGCAAAGGGTGACCAGGGCAGCGTGGGGACCATGGGGCAGAAAGGAGAGACAGGAGAAGTGGGCTCAGCAGGTCCCCCGGTACGTCTCTCTGGCTGTCCCTGTCCCTCTGCTCTCGGTTCTCTGATGCACTGATTGCTGCAAATGCTCAGAATGGGGCTGGGTTGGCTGATTTAAGCACAGACCTCTCCACACCACCTTCCTGTGGAGCTGGTGGATGTGGGAGCTTTGAATTTCCATTTCCAGTCAGCTTATTCAGAATGTATCAAGAGAGAAAAAGGAGAAAATATTTCTTCAAGGTGCCCTGGAGATGACCATGAGCATGGCTTGAGCCAAGGCTGGTGTTTAGAGGGAGACAAACCTATTTTTCTCTCATTTTTGCTTTCCTGGAAGATGCACCACATCAGTGTCACATTTTTATCTTTCAGGGAGCAGAAGGGCCAAAAGGAGACAAAGGAGACAAAGGAGACACGGGGTCACCATGTCTGCAGAATAATCATGTAAGATCTTGGCAACATAAAGTCTCTTTCATGGCACAGGATCAGGCAAGGTTGGGGGTGCAGGACACACCTTCCAGTCCCATATCTATCAGCAAAACCCAACTGTTTTCTACATTCTGTCTAAATGGGGTTTATTCCTTAGGGAAGAGCAGTTCACACTCTTAGCACTACAAAATTATTTCGATTTTTTATTGGTTGTTGAAATATTGGATGCTGCTGTGGTAATTAATTGGGCATTAAATAATGATTCTGGGCTTTGTGAGGTTTCCACTCCTGACAGCCTTGTTAATGTGCTGTTTAATTCCCTTCTGCAGATCATACCTGAGCCTGGACCCCCTGGATTACCTGGCCCTATGGTAGGACTCTGAAGTGATTCATGCAGATTTATTATTGTATGTGATAAAGGACAAGGGTGGTTTGTTCTGTTTAGTCATTGTGGGCTGTCTTGAATCTGGGAAAAAAAATCAGGGAAGTGCTACAGTCTGATCTGTCTTTGGAGAAATTAAAGCACCTAATTTAGGAGAGTACATCAGAGTTTATGGCTCATTTTGCAAAAATCCAAGTTTTTTCTTGGGAGAAAAGATAAAATCTTGTGGGATGGAAAATCTGCTCCCCATCATGACAGTGTCTGTATTCCCCTAAATTCACCCAAGTCATGAAGTTTTCTGCCATCAGCTGCACTGGGAGAGCATGCAGGTGGTGGTGAACACACAGAGCATTTTTGATGGAGACATCAAAGGGGTTTGGTGCCTACAGTGCTCCAAGAGGAGCTGTCGGGGACATTGGGAAGGCTGGGATCCCTCTGCTGGGCCCAAGATTCACCTTGAGAGACCATGCTTCAAAAGCAGGTGGCATTCACATCCCAGCCCTGCCCAGGTGTGGAGGGCTCTGTTGGCACAATGCCACCCCCAGAGCATCCTGTCATTTCTTCAGCAAAGATTCTGGGGGTTCTCACTCTCCAGAGCTTGTGTTGCAGAGCTTTATTGTCCCATGTTACACAGAATGCTCTTTTTCAGTTCCCCTGCCCTTTGATTTGATACTGGAGAACAAAATAAACTGCCACCTGTCTTGAAAATAAGTATTTGACCATTGTCAGCCTGTAATTTGAGCAAGAAATTGTTTGGGAAGGAAAGTTTACGGTATGTTTTTAAATTCTGGGTTTTTTTCAAATGCACCACTGTCTTTCCCACAGGGTCCTCCAGGAATCCAGGGGCCTAAAGTAAGTCAATAAATTAAATGTCACCCAGTTTCCCAGCTGCTAGTGCATTATTTACAGGCTCACAAAGGCCTGTCAGCTCTGGAGTCTGAGTTTTTTGTCACTGTTGTCACAACACATCCCTTGGTTACACTGTTCAGCAGTTGGCATTTTGGAAAACAAGCCATTTTTCCTTCCAAGCATTTACAATCCAAACCCCTCCTCCCACACAGAGTCCTGAGGGCTGGTGAGAGCCAGGGTTTCCAAACCAAAAGGCTTAAAACCTGTATTTGCAGCTACTTTCTTATATGATGTGGTAAAGAGCAAAACATCAGCAGCAGTGTGGGTGTGAGCACCCAGAGAAGGGGTGGGAGGTGGGGGGTGCCTGAGGGGCTGCCAGGGCTTCTTGGCTGATCCATTTCACTTCTGCAGGGTCTGGATGGTGCAAAGGGAGAGAAAGGTGACACTGGTGTGAAGGGGGACCAAGGTGACACCGGACCTGCTGTGAGTTGTGTTCCCAAATTTTTGGCTGTCGACAGAAACCTGTCTCTCAGGAAACAATCCCAATGCTTTGTTTCTTTTTAATTTAAGGGTCTCCCAGGTGCTCCAGGGCTCATTGGTTTACCTGGTACCAAAGGAGAAAAGGTAATCATGGGTGTGGGAGAGGGGCAGTTGGGGTGCAATCCTAAAATAGGGGCTGTAAAACCCTGCTGTGGGGAGTCCAGCCAGAGCTGCAGAGCTGGACCAGCACCACCCTGCTGGGTGGCAAAGGGGCAGCCTCCAGTCCCAGGGGCTCCTGGGTGAGCCCATGCCCTCACTACCACGTTAAACCAACTGGATCCAAGTTTGTCTGCAGCACCAGGCTCAACACAGCACATCTTAATTTTTATTTTTACATCTGCAGGGAAAGCCAGGAGAGCCAGGATTGGATGTGAGTATGGAAATCATTCATTATTCGTGGTAGAAACACAAGTAACACACACCTAACTTGAGATTGTTGGGAAAATATGTAGCTAACACTGCATAGACTGGTCCCCCTTAAACACAATGTCCATGGAGTGATGGCTGCAGAAAGGGCTGAATTTGGGCCCATTGCTGGGCTGCTTCCACGGCACAGTGGAGCTGCTCACCTAAAGGTGCTGCCAGGGCTTCCCTTTCCATATTTGTATTGGATTCAGTGACATGAAAATTTCTAATAGCTGTAATGTTGCTGGGGTGTGGTGAAGCACTCCATTTTTCCAAGAAATTGCTGACATACCAAGTCAACAGGAAGAAAATGTCATTCTTCACCGTGGCAGGACAGGCTGATGGCTGGAGTTGGCTCATGTTGAACTGAGCCATTCACACACTAAACTTACAAAATCTTTTTTCTTTTTTTCTTTTTTCCACCTAAAAATTGTGGTGACAGGGTTTCCCTGGTCTCAGAGGAGAGAAGGGAGAGAGAAGTGAAAGAGGCGAGAAGGTGAGTGGGTTATGGTTGTGTTGATGCTTGTGGGCCAGGACAGGCTGCTCTTTTTGGCAGGCAGTGCTGCTTGCCCTGGAGCCACTGCTGAAAGGCCTTCTCTGCAGCCCAAGGATTTGCAAATTCCCAGCTCAGGGCAGGACAGGCACTTATTCCCCTTGGAACCCTCCTGAAAGGGTTTTTGCAAGCCTGCCCTCACCCCAGCCCAGCCTGACCACTGTGGGGAAATGGAGCAGCCTGACAGCCACAGAATCACTGGTCTTGGTTTACAGACCTTGAAAATGGATCCAAGTCAAAGGTTTTGTTACACAAAGGGGCACCCAGGTGGAGCCAGGAGCCCAGCTGAGCACAGGGCAGTAGCTGGAAGCTGCTGCTCACACCTGCTGTCAGATACCAACCTGGGCTCCAGCAGAAACTGCTCATTTAGTCAATCTGCTATAAAATTATCTATTACAATATTTCCACCCAGCTTTAACTGAAGATTTTCACAGTGATTTCACTGCTCAGCTGAGGTCACACTAGTGCAAGTGTCCTTACTCTGGGTGAGGACTGGGACTCTGCAAATGCTGTGAGATATGAATTTTATAAAGGTGTTTCTTCCCCTTGCTCCTGATATCTTCCTGTTGTGCTGACAGGGTGAACGAGGAATACCAGGGAGAAAAGGGGCCAAAGGACAGAAGGGGGAACCAGGCCCCCCTGGACTGGATCAGCCTTGTCCCGTGGTACGTCTTTCATTTCACTCACCCTAAGCATGGGGCTGAAAAGGAGACACAGCTTTGCAGCCAGGGAGGATTTGGGAGTTCTCTCTTTTGCAGTAAATCAGAGCAGATGGTTATTGTTTTCTCACTTTTCTTAATGGTTTATCTGCACTGCTGGAAGTTAACTGCTCACTGTAAGGGCCAGATGGGAGCAAGCCACAGCAGTAAAAATAAAACATCTTTGTGTAAAGACCTTCTTATTGTAGTCGGGAACAATGGACCTCAGTAGAGCTCTTCGGGAGATAGTGTGATGGTGCTGGCTTGGCTTCTGAGCGTGTTTGAAATCAGGGAGTAACTGGGTGCAGGGGATGGGAGCTGATCTGAAAACAAGGAGAGCTCCATCCCTTCATCCCTGCAAACCGAGCGAGGGATGAGCCAGGGGAAGCATGTTGGGGTTGACAGCATGACAGCTCTGCCAAGCATAAGTGATGCATGAGTGGACCTCCCCAGGCTGCCAGGAGTGCCTCTGGGAGAAGAGACCTCCCCTGGTTTCTCTGCCTGTGGCTCAGAGCTGTCCCTTCCCAGACACACCCCGGGCCACCGCCGCTTTCCAGGAAACCTCCTGGGTGTTTGAGCCTGGGGAAGCTGGATCTCCCAAGTCCACTTCCTGTACCTCTCATTCATTAGAGAGCCCACAAAAAAAAAAAAATCTAGAGTGGTTTGTAAGAAGTTATTTGGTCTGATAAAATTTATCTCCTTTTCACTACTGTTTCTCATATAATGACTAAAACTAGAGAGATTCTTTCCCTGAAGTGCTTTGAAACTGCAGGAGGAGAAGTATCAAATATGGAACTGAAACAGCTTAAATGTAGCTGTTTACTTAGTCCAGAAGCACCTAATTAAGAGCGCCAGCTACTTGCTCCATGACAATTCAAAAACCCATTTCTTCTCTGAACGTGTGACTTCTCCTCACTCTCTGAGCACAGCCATGGCAGCCAAGGCTGTTGTGTAGCTCCACTACACCAGCAATAAGCTCCTTTAGTCAATATGCTTTATTTTGCCTGGAGATTGAATGTGAACTGCAATTAATTTTTTCCTCTCTTGACATGTTGGGTGATTTACCCTTTATCTCTTTAACTGCACTTTTACAAATGTGAATCTCTGGTTTGTGTGCAGAGGATTTTCCCAGCTGACAGATTCTGCATGTCATGTGAACTCCCTACCATAAAACCACTCTGCTCTGTCATCAGAAACGGAGCTGTGAAGCTCTAGACCCATCCTCCTCCCACTGTGCTGAAACATGGGTGTCTGTCTGTGTAACTCCTGTGTCCTTTATCATTCTCAACAAGCAGTTATTTTTCCAAACAGGGAGATCATAGCATTGCAGGCAGCAAAAGGGACCCAGGTTTGCCAGGCCTGGATGGGGTGAGCCTGCCCTGCCCTTTGGTACAGTATCTGCTCTGCCTTGCATGGTTTGTGTGTGTTCCTGCTGTGACCAAGCCCTGTCCCCAGGAGCAAACCCCTCCAGGGAGGAAAAGGACACAGGGCAGCAGAGCTGGAACAAGATGTTTCACTCTGGCATTTGGGGAAGGATGCCAGAGTTGTGCCTCCTTCTTTCCAGTTAAAATTACTTTAGATAGGGAGTGTAAATCTTGGGAGATCATGCAGGGGATGCCAGTCCCTTTATGGTAACAGATGCTCAAAGTTAGTTATGGTTTCTCTCAGTGCCTATGGCCCAGTTTGGTTCCCCTCGTGCCTGTGCTGCTGCAGCCCTGAGTCCCATCCCCAGCTGGGATTTGAAAAGCTTTCCTCAAACAAACAGTCCTGCAGAGCAGGGCCACTGGCACTCTGGGCACCAGAAGGGTTTTGCTGTGTCAGCACAGAGCTCTGCTCAGGTTGAGTCCAGTGCTTATGCAGGAAGGTTCGTGCTCTGCTCCCCAAAAGGGCTCTGCACCACTAGCTAAGAGAGGTCATTGTTTTATTTTCATTTTTTTAACCACAGAAAATGCTGTGTGTTAGATGATTTGCAGTTGTCCTCAGAAAAACAAAAGGGCAGTAAGCTGTTTCTCTTTCAAAAAGTTAAATTACTTTCAGATGTGTCCAAGAAACCAATTCCTAACAGCAAGCCTGCTCTAACTTCTTACTTACTCCCCAGAGATGTTCTATTTCCCAAGCATCTCCCATCCTAACTACACAGAAAACACAGGACCCATCTCTGTTGAAGGCACTGTAAGCTGCAGTGGGTGATTCCTCCAATTAACTACAACATGACCATTTAGCAAAGCACTTGTGCATCTTCCTGGTTAGTTGCAGGTTGGTTGAAACGTTGACTTTGTTCTGCAGCCCAGGGTGCAGAGGAGGCTTGCTGGGCTTTGAGTCCAGGAGCAGCAGCATGAGCCCCACACACAGCCACAAAGAGTCATTTTGGAGTCACTCAAGTGAAACACGGTAGAAAGGTGTGGAGTTTTATGATGGCCAAAATAAGTATTCTGAGTGCACAAGAAGGAGAAGTGCTCAGGGCAGAGATAAACCCTGACCATCAGTGTCAGGGAGCACCTTAACAGTAGGTCAGCATGTTTTAGGTCAAACAACCACTTGTTCCCTGTACCCATCACCCCAGACAACTCTGGCAAATGTACATGTTCTACCCCCCTTTTTTTAATAGCTTTGGACCAAAATATTGACTGTGTCTGCAGAAAAAAATGTGTGTTTTCTAACTAAGGCTACAGGAAAGCATGACTGCTTACACTCTGAGTAGCTGGAGAGGGTTACCTTACTCACTGCATCTGTTTTATTGGGCATAGGCTATTTTACATATAAAATCAATACAGAATACAAAAAAATGTGATGACTAACATTTACAGTAAAAAATGTAAAATTGCATTTTGACCTGTATTTGCACTAGCAGTTCTCTCTGCTGCATCCACATCTTCCCAGCCCTAGTGAGTCTGGAGGTGGCTCTGAGGGAAGGGTCAGTGCCTGGGTGCTCTCTGTGGCTCTACATGCAGAAATTCATGTCATTGGAGATCCAGGAGCCTTAAACAAATCCAGCATCAGGAAAGGCAGCTGAAGTCAGCTATTTCTTCATGGGTGTCTTGAGAGAGCTGGTCATACATAGCTCGTTCCTCTTCTAAGGGCTCCTTCCTTTCCAGTGTTCTCCTGGAGAGAGAGCTCTTCTGGCTTTCTGATTTTTGTATGTTTCTTGTATCTCCAGTGGAACAAGACAAATATTTTCACTCCCTTTGCATAGTCCATAACTCATCCTATTCTCAGTTCAACAACTCAAGACTTCTTAAAGAAACTAAGTACTGCAGGATCAAATTTAACACAATTAGGATACCATCTAGGAAAAAAATACCTACATCACCTCCCCCAAACAGAAAAGCACATTTTAACAAAAAATACATTCCCACATCATGCTTTCCATATATATGTCTGATTGCAAAATGCACTACCTTATAAAGCAGATTATGAAGTTAATGAACTGTGATTTCAAATCTATTTGTACACGTCTTCTTTGTTTAAAGGAAAAAAAAGTGTAGATTTCCAATTTTTTTTTTTTAGTTTACCCTGAGGTGTATTTAATTTTGTGTTGTGCGTGACATATGGATTACATTGCCTGCATATTTATTTTTGTGCATATACAGTAAATGGGTTTTGCATGGTAATTAACAGTGCTGCTAAGCCTTTCATTGTGACAAATGAGCTTCAGGTGTTTGGGTCTGACACTTAAGTCTGACACTGTCAGAAAAACTGAATCTGTAAATTCAATTTTGCAGGGACCAGACGGACTGCCAGTAGCAGGATGTTGGCATAAGGTACAGTAACATTAATAACTGTATATCCTTGAACAGGTCCTGAGTAACTCTGCTCCCTGCATGGTCAATGTTTGCAGTGCTGAACATGCTTTAAGCAGCAGCTCACAGGCCTGGCAGACATGACATTATGCCTTGGGAGAGCAGGATTCCAGCAGCTTCAGGTCTTGTTCCCCCCAGCTCTAGACTGGTGCTGGGAACACCAAAAACTTCCTGAGCATGACACAAATCATTGTTAACACTGTCAGTAGAGTGCATTTTTACAGGCCTGCTCAGGCTTTTATCATGGCCAAGGAAGCTCAGGAACCACCCATGGAAAGGCTGCCCCAGGTGCTCGTGTGCCTTTCTCAGTCCAAACCCTCCCAGCTGAGAAGTTAACAATGGGTTGTCTCTTTGTTGCAGAGTTCCAAACATTTATTTTCTAACAAAGACTCTTCTGCCATTGTAATTGTAATTCACAACCACTGCACTGCCTCAGTGCTCTGATCAGCACCCTGGGTGCAGTGGTCAGGTAATTTGTAGCATCTCGTGCACCCAGAGCAGCCTGGGAGAATGAGGAGAGATGTGTCCTCCTGTAAAATGAGGATTTAAGCCAGACTTGCAGGAGAATCCTCATTCTCCAACAAGAGAATGACTCTGAAGCTGAGTGGAATTACAAACCATTGTACATGTAAACATGTACATGGACACAGCTGGAGTTAACAGCATGCCACTAACCGACTGCAAACCCTCAGTTAGAATGTGAGCACACCCTTGGTATATCCAAGGTTTTAATTCTGTGTAATTTGTTTGGATGCACCATTAAGATTAAAGAAATCTGAATGCCAATTCTTATAGTATTAACAGTAAGGTTAGTGAGTGTAATGAATGGAGCATTTCTCTGATCAAAATGTTTGTTTGTGTGTTCTTTTTCAGTGATCTCTAAGCATGAAGCACAATATGTAAATAATGTGATATATTTTGATCTTTTTAATTTTTGTATAAAAAAAGGAAAAAAACTTTTGACAGTAATATATTGACCTTTTTTTATACTGGATTCTGACATTTGTGGACTTGGAAAATAATGTAAAGCTCTCAAACCTCTACCATTGCATGGTAACACCAGGATTTGCTAAAGGTACTGATGGCAGTAGCTGAGGATGAACAGTGTTCCCTGCTCATGCTGCAGTGTGAACTAACAGTACTGAGCCAGCCTTGTGTGCCTTACTGCATGAAGGAGGGCAAAATCCCTGTCCTAATTCGGCTCTCAACTTCATATTTGCATTGTACATGCACATTAAAAGGGTGAAAAAACCTGGCTGAAAGCAAAGAAAAGAAGGATGCAGCCCTGACAATGAAAGAAGCGGCTGTCTGCTGTCTGGTCAAACAGGAGAAGGATTTGCAACCTGCAGAGGAAACAAAGCCAAGCTCCATCCATCACTACCTGCTGTGGGTGTGATGGAAACAGCAGTTCTGGGGCTAAACTGAACAACCTTGACTGCTTGTGGTGATTTCCTCTACAATCAAGAGAAACCTTTTCCCTCCAGAGGAAGCACCTCTGGGTCCTGTTCTGGGGTATGATCCTGAAGATGTGCCAGCACTTTGTTACTGTGGAACACAAATTCCCCAGGAAGCCTCTACTGCAGAATTTCAAACCAGAAAAACCTGGCAGTATTTCAGTGCAGGGAGCTGCAGGACAGGGAAGGCTCTGCTCAAGTCCCTTCTTAAACAACAGAGCACATAATGTTGCTCTTGGAGTTCCCAGAAATTGGGAGTTTGGAGTATTTAACTGACTTGGTTTGTGGGATTCATTTGCTTTTTATTTCTTCTTGGTTTACATGGTTTTAACTGTAAACTAACTCTGTGCTCTCCTCTTGTTGTCTTATTTTTCTTCACCTTTTCATTCTCTTTTATTAAATTATCTCTTCTCAGGCACATCCCATGCAGAGCAGGGTAGTGGATAAAAATCATTATTATTTTGATATCTGCATATGCCACTGTGGGATCAATTAAAATTGCAAACTATTCCACAGTTCAGCATTTTTAAGATGTTGAAAAAACAGCAATTGTGCAGCAGAGAGCCATAAAAAAATATTTCAAAGAGGAAGAAGATGGCTTACAGCCGAGTCTGTTCAGCTTACAATGAAGATCAAGAAGCAACCAGATTCCTTTACAGGGAGGAGATACTTTGTATTAACAAGTTTTAAAACTGCACAGAGAAAGATATACAAATACTCATCCAATGGGTAGAAGTTGAAGCCACACAAACTCAAAGAAGTAAGCTGTGGGTTTTTATTGGCAAAACTGGTTAATCCTAACCAGATCAGTGATAAATTGCTATCACCCTTATGCCCTTTTCATTTAACAGATCATGTCTGGAGAAAATACTTTGCTCAATGCAAGTTGCTGGGTTCTGAGTAGGAGTTTTAGGTGAAATCGGGAGCCCGACTGTAATATCAAACACAGCATTATGGCTCTTTGTGGCCTTGATCTTAGAGAATACAGAAGGGAGGCAGTTTTGGTACACTGAGTAGATCCAAAACCTTGTTAAGATTCTTGCTTCATTGCCACTCTCACTGCAGCTACTGCCAGAGAGGGACTGAGAGAGGGATGGTGCACCCTGTGCTGTCCAAGCTGACCTAGTGCTGGAGGTCTTGCTCCAGTGTTGTGAACAACAGTGGGAATGTGCTTTGTGCTCCACACAGGTAGGGTGATGCCTGGTGTCTGTGAGTTCTCAGCTGTCCTTGAGTTTAGCTGAGGAGTCAGGGTGAGCCTGTGCTCTGCGCTGGTCAATGCTGGAATGGCCACCAAGCTCAGGAGAGGTGACACAGCCTCAGGGCTGTGGGCAGTGCCTTTGTACCTGGTTGGCTGCTCAGGGGCTACACCTACACTGGCTTTGTGGCTGTACTTGGCATCTCTAGCAGTTACTCACCATTTCCTTGGTCACCATACAGATTAAATCCATGTTAAATTCAGATCAACTAACAAATCAAGAAACAACAATTATGTAACTCAAAACAGCAATGAAAATGCATTTTATTTACTTCCATTTCATGTTCTCGGCTATCAATTTTGGTGGAGGGGTTTTTAAAGGCATAAGGAGCAGCTAACAAGCTTCCATTGGCCTTTAGTGCTTTTGAAAAACCCCTTTAATATCCCAAATTAAAGCTAAAAAATTTTCTGTGAAAGGTTGAATGTAAATCTCTCATTGATGTCACCAGGAAGATCTGTAATTGTTCCCTTAATGTACAGTTGCTCTTCCCATCACCCCCAGTCATCTCCAAACTAAAAGCAGTTCACTATTCCAAACCACACTGTGGGCTTCTACACTCAAATTCCTGCACATGTCGTGTTCATGGAACTTCTTTCAATATCAATGAGAGTTCAGTCCCCAGAATGACTGCAGAAAGCACAAGAATCTGGAAGTGTCCACAAACAATCTACAATGCAGATAGAAAAGTCTTGTTTTACATACGCTGGCAAAAACTAAACAGCTTTCTATCTAGCTCCTACTTGAAGAAGTTTGATATCACTGAAGCTACAAGACAAGCTAACCTCCAAAGCTTATGAAATTATATTAAAATTTATATTTTCTCTGAGGAAATACCCCGAAGTCCTATTATCTTCAGGTAAACAAGTCAGTATTCCGTCTTCAACTTGTGGAATATCCAGTGCTTGTAGGCATCAACTGTGACCACTGCCAGGCCTGCAAAACATTGATACAGAATACCAGAATAGTGCTTTACCCTCTCACCACGCTGCAAGGCCACCGTCCCCCTCCCAGCACAGAGCCTCTGCTGCCACAGCACCCAAGCCATCTGTTGGTAGTGGAGGAAGGCTGGAATTACCACTCTAGCACAGCTGTACCCACCCCCACCAGTGCTGCAGCTCAGCCACCAAAGCTTTTTGTGATCCTCTTTGGAAGTTCCCAGGCAAAGGCCCTTGGTTCTGCATGCACAAAGATCATCTCTGCACGTGTAGCCAGTCAGGAATGTTCAGGACTTTGGACTCACTGCTCACGGGCAGTGGCTTCTCTGGACTCCTGCTGCTGCCACTCCCATCAGGAATGCTGGCAGGTACAGATCCTGCTCGACACTGCTGCCACTTTGGCTATGAGGAACTCATATGAGGAACCAGCAGCTCTCCTGGATCTCTCCCCAATTCTTTGGGGTGGTACATCCACTCCAGCAAGCCCTCATCGTGGAAGGAGCAGAGCCCTGTGGGAGCAGGGAGTGGATCCCCAGCAGGGCTCTCACTGGCACCTGAAGTCCTGCCTGGTCCTCAGCTGGGATTGGTGCATTTGGCCTCAGGATTCTGAACAGTGTCCCTGCTTCCCTGCCCACGGCACAGAGATGGACCTCAGTGACCTTTAAAGACTCTTCCAAGCCCAGCCATTCTGTGATTATCATTCAGATCAACAGACTTCATTAGAGAAACTGTTGGGTTTTGTACTCATTACACAGAGTCCAAGAAAAAATCTCTTTAGATTTCCATGTGCCTTACACACAAACACATTTAGAAGAGCAGTTGTTAAATACAAAGCAGTCATGATCTTACTGCAGTGAGTTGAAAAGATGTGCTTTGCTCTGCAAATTCATGCCAGATCAGTTGATTATTTTCTCCTTCCATATGAAAATGTTTATGTGGGTCTTTCTGAATACTTTGTGAATAGCTCACAAAGACAAATTTTACTTCTAGATGGTACTGGCAGTCTTGCTCAAAACTCTGTCATGATCTCAGCCTTTGACAAAGCTTAGGGAGTTTTTCCCCCAGGAAATCTCTCTTCTTTTGTTTTCCCCTCTGGATTGAAAGAATCTGAGACTGCTTTACAGCAATTCCAAAAAGCAGCTGAATGTTACCACTATATGTCAGCAGCAATGAATATGATTGACAGAGAGGCTGCCAATGCTTATGAAATGTGGGTCAGGCTGAGACTTAGCCACTGATTTTTCTTGATCACTAAAATATTTGGTGTAACGTCATAGATTGAGCAATAGACATTCTGGGTAACAGACTGAAGTTACTGATATTGGGGGAACCTGAAACTCAAGACAAATGTATTTTTGTTTTTTAGTTGACAAAACAAAATTCCTTCCTCTAATTTAACTGCCTGTAAAAGCATGGTGCTTTCCATGAGGTTTAGGCAACCATGTCTGCTGCTGCCCAGGAGCAGAGGACACACAGCTTTCTGTAAGGCTTGTTCCATTTCAAACTCTAGCTAATGACCTCCTTTCCAGCCACCACCACCATCCTCTCTCTTAACACACTGTAGCCCAATGGGTTTTGGAGTCAAAGCTCCCAAACGGAATCGTAAGGGCACAAGAAGTCTCTTGAGACCCCTGCAAGGTTTTTGAGCCCCAAAGCTCTGCAGGCTGTGCCTGTGTCAGCGCTGATGCTGCACCCACCCAACCCTGGGCATGGGAGAGCTCCCTAGAGCTTCCAGGGAGGATGGATTTCAGAAAGAAGGGAATAAGGCAAAAAAACCCATGTGTGTAACTCCACAGCTTGAGGAACCCTGCCAGAGCATGAACCCAATAATTTGGCCTGTTCTCATGGGGACAAATGAGATTAATTAAGAGTTTTGCAGTTCAGTCACAGCTTGGCCAGTGAGTTCGGAAATATTTCTTTGGATTACAAAACAGGTGGCAGAGAAATCCTCATCTGACCCCAAACTGGAACTGTTCCCAAGTGTCAATTCATCAATATTTTAGTTTTAAAATATCATAATCGAGATATTGCCACATGCTTTGTTTTATTCCCATGGGGAGTCACCTCTTCTGTATGCACAGTTTCTGACACTTCCTGTATATATAATGGTGATGAATTTATTTCTGTATGGATTTTTCTCCTATGTATTTAAAAATAAGAATGTTTCTTTTAATGGTAATGACATTTTTGATATGTTTTCTTTTTAGGAAACCAATAGATAAAACATTTAGATAAGCTTTTTTCTTCTATAATTTCGTACATTTAGCATTTGAAATCCTTAAGCAAACCAGCAAAACATGTGGGAGGTTTCAGCAGTTTAAGACATCCCATGCAATGATGCAAAGCAACCAATGGAAAATGACACCTGTGGTTTTAGGATTGTTACAGTAACCACTACCCTGGGTAAAGTTCTGGTTTTGCACTCAGCCAAATATAGTAGGTCTTGGGCAAGAATTCAAGAACTCCCATTGTAATGAACAGCTGATTAAAATAAGTAATAAAAATTAATTAAACTATTAAGATGCCATAAAGTTTCCAGCTTTCTCATAATGGTAAATAACTTCCCTGTCAATGTAGTATGTGCATTGTAAAGGTGAATGCTGGTTCAACTATTAAGATGCCATAAAGTTTCCAGCTTTCTCATAATGGTAAATAACTTCCCTGACTGTCAATGTAATATGTGCATTGTAAAGGTGAATGCTGGTTTAATGCTGCCCTCTGGAGGAGACTTTTTTTTTAATAGAAGCAAATTTTATGCAAATTTTGTGCTGTGACAGTGTCTCTTAATCTAGTCAGCACACATGACTTTTGTGTAACTCCACAGTTTGAGTACATACTTGTAAAACCAGGAGTGCATGATTAGAAATTTTCCAAATCTGGTATTTCTTTCTTGGGAAATACAATTGTATTCTCATGTTTTTTCAGTCCCACTGTTACCCAGATAATTTACAGCATTACACACATAAAATGTACCTATAGTAGATTTCCTGACGCATTTCTATTTTTAAAATTTTGTGCATGGAACCTCTGAATTATTTTCTTTGTAAGCAACAGATTTCTCTCTAAGATATGCAAAATATTAATAACTACAAATGATTAAGATATAAAAATTTAAATGTCACCAAACCACTGATCCTGGACAAGTAGTGTAGGTATGTGGCTGAATTCAGATCAATGAGTTTGGTTCCAATGCGCTCTAGCAGAGGAAGGAGTGTCCAGAGGTGGAAAGAACCTCAGTATTGCTTTGTTTAATTTGAAATTCCTGCTTTTTACCTGTTCAGGACAGGCTGACATGCTGAGCAGCACAGCCAGCCTTGCAGAGGTTTAACCAGGAGATTTTCAAGTGAGAAGTTACCTACATGGATAACTTCAAAAGGCCTGTGACACTCTGACTTGCCAAGGCAATCACTGAACACCCTGAACCTGGCACCTTTACAGGCCAGCCTTTATGTAAGCATATCTCTTGACCCTTAGCAATAGTTGGTTGGTTGGTTTGTTTTTAACAAAAAGGAAGGGGCAGAGAGAAACTGGTCACTCTAGTTAGTCCAGTCTCAGTGTCACTTACTGGAGTCACCTGCCTTTTAACCACGTCCCTGGCACTGCACTGCACCTGACCACTAGTTCAGTTTGAAATACTCCAGAGCTCCACTCGGGGGATCTATTACAGACTGAAGCAAACCAGTGAGTAAAAAAAAATTCCTAAGCTTTCCCTTGTGATAATTTATATTTGTAAGCTAAAAATTGCTTTTAGTACTTTCACATCCCCAGGTGAACTAGTGCAACTTTGCCATGTTCTTGTGTCCCATTAGGTGGCACAACACCAGGGATGTGTGACTTTGTAAAGTAAGTGCAGAAAATCTGTCCCTTAGATATGAAAGGAGAAAGAACTTAATAGATTATATTATTGTATACTTTTGTAGAGAGCCTGGGGGAAACCACAGGAAGGCTGGGAAACATGAGTTTTCCATGCATAAGGAGAAGAATTATTGACAAGAGAGTGGAGTAAGAAATACATTAGTAACATTTGTGGTTTTCCTATGACTTAGGACAAACAATTAAATCCTGTTTTGTTAAGTTCTGCTAGAAGTTGACTTCAAGTGTGGTTTCATGGAACAGTCAGCTCACTTCTGTGTCAGCTCACTTGTGTGGTCAAAGTCTTACATGACTTAGATATTTATGAACAGAAACTTAAAAAGGAGGTGACCCAAGTATCTGTAAATGACACTGGTCCCATCTGCTGCTTTTTATTATACTGTTAAACACTCTATTTAAAAAGTTCATTTTGCAGGAATTTATTAAGTGTAGGTGAGTGCTTGTCAAACTTGTATTTCTGCAATTACATTAAAAAATTAGAGTCTGGTTTTCCAAAGCAAAAGCACCCATGATATGCACTGAACTTGTTAATTTAGCAGGAAGGTCCTAAGCTGCCATCAGTGCAAATGAGAGCTGGAGCCTGTTGTGTTTGCTGGTTTGATTCATAGACTGCAGTTTTATAAACAATTTCATAACAGCTTTTTGAGTTTCAGTTTGGGTTTCTTTTTCTGCTATCTTAAAAACAATCAGAAATACTGAATATTAAGAATGTTCAGCACAAATGCCACAGTCAAAACTGAAAGCCCACTGCTTTGCTGCATTACATGACTTTGGACATAGAAATGATACAAAACTGGTGTGTACACAAGCATTTGAGAAACTGTAACTGCTGGTATCTCAAATCTGGATACAGTTTATAAAAATACATCCAGTATGTGCCTTATCTGTCCATATTTGTTTTGAAATTATGTCAATAGAGCTTAATCCTCTACCACGTTATGCAAGTGTCCCTTATTTAGGTGAGTGGTTGCATCACTCCAGGGAGGCTGTTCAGAGGAGAAAGGGCTGTTTGTGTGTTTGCAGCTTGCCAAAAATGAGTTTTGAATGTATTTACATGGTATTTTATACAAAACTGGCTAAATCTCTGTATATGACCTTTGAAAAGAAATATATAGATATTAAAATTACAGAAAATGTACTTAACATCTCCATTTGCAAACTTTTTGTGACTTTTGATCATGTATGTGCCACGAAAAGTATTCTATTTACTCTTCTTTGGGGAACAGCTACTTTAAAAATGAAGGCATTAATAACAGTATTTCTTATCCATTGTTTTAACATGTTAAAATGGTATTAATTAGTACTACATCATGTATTTCTAGTTTAAAGCTGTAATGGACAATACATTACCTTGAGACCTGGAGGAATTTTTTTCTTGTGCTTTTTTTAATAAAAGCAAAGACTAGATTTAAAAAATGGTCTCTCTGTACAGATTACTTTTACAATTGTGTGAATATGTATAATGAACTCTGCATTTGTAACCTAAACTTTCCAAATTGTAAATGTTCAGGTTGTTATTATAAATAGCTAGTAAATATCTTAACCAGACAAGAGTTCAAATAAAGATTAACAGCCATTATTAACTTTTTCTCCACTGTCTTTTGTTATTAAAAGCCTGACCTTTATGAAGCAATGGAGTTAGACTAAGTTAAATCTAATTTTAACATAGCAATGTGGTTTTGCATTCTCCATATTGCACAAAATTTAAACTGCTCCTGTGTTCATCAAGTAATTGCAGCTAGAGATAATTATTGGTGGCTATATCTAGCAAGCAAAGTCTGCCAAGTGTAGTTCTAAAGTTATCTGTTCTGTTTTTCTAGAGTTTTTAAAAGCTGTTTGTCAGTTTAAACCAAAAGAATGTCAACATGTATTTGGAAGGAAAAAAAATGTATCATTTTCTAGAATCAAGTTGGAAAAGTTGATTAACTTGGTTACGGGATACAACATCTGCAGGAGCAGAACTCAATCCATTGCAGAACCTCCTTTCTGGTTCTTTATCCTATTTTCCTTTAGGTAATTCCAGTCAAACAGGAATGGAAGAAATATCATTCTAATCTGATGGACAGCATTTCCTCTTTTAATCCTAACTATTACCTGCTTTAGGATTGGCTCTGAAGGGGTCAGTCGGGTGTCTGCCTATCTGCCACCAGCCAAACACAGGGCTGGGTTTACTTCTGCTTTAACCATGTGGAAGAATTATTTCTGTTCTACCACCTTGGCTACCCACTCAAATTATTTTGAACTGTAAAAGAAACTTCCTCGATGTGTATTTCAATCACAGAGCCCTACAGCTGTACTAATGATCCTGAAGAGCCCGCTCCTCCCTCCGAGGTGAGCGGGGCTGGATGAGCAGTGTAAAGCCCTGGGGTGTGCGGATTGAGGGTGAGCTGCCGGCAGCCCCGCACGGCCCCGGGGGCCGCAGCCTGTCCCCATGTGTCCCCACTGCTGCCCGGTCCCTCCGGTCCCCGGGTGAGCCCCTGCCCCGCTGCGGGCGCACGCAGGACCCGCTCGGTGCTGCGGGTGCGAACCGGGCAGCGCTCGGCGCTCCGGCCGGGCCGTGCCCGCGTCCCTGCGCCGCCGCTGCCGCCCTGCCCTGCCCTGCCCTGCCCTGCCCTGCCCTTCCCTTCCGAGCGGGGCCGAGCCGCGGCCCCGCCCGGCGGCAGCGCCATCGCGCCCGGGCTGGAAGCGGCGGCAGCGCCCGCCCGCACAGCCCGGTGTAATTAACAGGAATTAGCCTTTCTTAAGGAGGGGATTACGAAACTGCACTGTAAAACCCGTATGATACCGAGTGCGCCTGTTAGAGGCTAAACTGCTTAGAAAGCGTTTTCTGCGAGCCCGGCGGAGACGCGGCTGGGGCTGGAGGCCGTGCTGGGGCAGGCGAGGCTCTGGCTCGCCTACTGTTACAGCCGTCTTTCAGGAAACTAATTATACCAAAACCGGGATGGAATTAACAACAAACGTCTGCTCTCTTTGACAGAATGAGGGACAAGACTCAGTTCTAAACTTCCCATTAAAGGTGGTGTTTCAACAAGCCTCAAGAAATTCTTAATTCTTTAAACCATCACCAAGTATGGCAACACAACTTTTATTTAACTAAGGGACTACTTTCATATCATATACATTCAAATCCAAGGGTACTTTTATGTGCTGTATAAATACAAGAGTTGGGCTGAAAGTAAATGCTGAAATTAGGATTATGCCAGTTACATGCACCCAAAAAACACTACACTGGGTATCAGATCTTTTTCTAACTGATTTGCCTTTCCACTGGCAACAAAGACCCAGCCTCTAAAAGCACTTTTTTAGCATCTTTTAAAGTTAGGAGAAGCTTACAAAAAACCCCAACTGTTTTGCCAGCTCACAGAAAGTATCAAGATAGCTCTTGGGTGGGATAATGAAGCACTTTCTTACTTCACCATTGTCCTTTGTCATCCATTTGACAATGGCTTTGTATTTATCATCAAATTATTTCTGTATAAGCCATCTTTTACTAAGTAAAGTACAGAAGTTTGGCATTGCCCTTCAGTCTCAAATCTCTGCGAGTCCTACTTGGGAAGATGTGTTTCCATGTTACTTGTTTGGAAATGAATTTAAAAAGTGAAACTGAACAAATGTACTTAAGTAAACCCAGCCTAATAAAATCACTGTGTTCTAGCTGTGGTTAGTGAAGCTGTAACAGTCACCTGCAGCAAACTGGAAAATCAGGACCTTGGCAGGAACAGCAAGAACACAGTAAGAATAATAAAAAGAACATAAGAAACACAAAAGAACAAAAAAGGGCAGACAGCACACAGTAAGGAATTGCAGTTAAGACAGGATGGAACTACAGAGGTGAGTCCTACTGCTCTGTCTAGACCCTAGAATAGGATTTTCAGGTTTGGAGTGTGCTTTTTTCCTGTTAATCTAAGAAAATTTGAGTACAAGGCTTTTGGTTTAGGGCCCAAAAGCAGGGTGACTGTGCCAGCAAACAGGAGAAATGCCTTTTACCAGTAGGATAAACTAAACTCACCAAGATTTATTTTGCTTTCTGATGCCTGTCATAGCTCTTCTTGCAAGCTGTTTTTTCCTAATGACCCAGTGAAGATTACCAAGGCAAAAGGCCAGTATATGTATGATGAGAATGGGAGACAGTACCTTGACTGCATCAACAACGTGGCTCACGGTAAGCTAAAGTCATGGCACTGGATGTTATTTGATGCTGTGTTTTTTTAAGCAGAACAAAGAACAGTCAGTACTTTTACTGCAGTTGCACTGTGCTGGGGGACGGGGTGTTTAACTGGAAAAGTGGAAGGAAACTTCCCTGAGCGTGTAGTTTGGGGAATTAATGTTTTTGAATTTGGCTGTGTGAATGTGCTTTCCAGACTTGCTTCCTGTCCTGTCTTCCTAGAAATGTGTCTAAAACATACAGATTTTTTTCCATGGAAACTCAAGTAAAGCACCTCACTGTAAAATGAACAAGTGACATTTTGTTATTGTAAAAGTTACTGTTAAGTGCACAGTCACAGAACCACTGCTCAGTGTGGTGCCTTACTTTTGGATAACTAAGTGACTGCTGCTTTCTTAAGTTAGAGAGATTTGAAATCTCTCTAACCTAACCCCTAACCAGGACTAGTAATTCTTTGATAGTAAAGCTTACCTGCACCTTCCCAAACTCCTGAACTGTGTAAATGCCTAAATCCAGGCATCAAATCAGACACAATTTTTTTACGATGTAAATTTCCAGTACTAACTACAAACCTTAAATACAGTGGGAGGCAAGTTCCAACTTTCTGAGGAGCACAAAAATGTTTTTACAAGACGTACCATTATTAAGGCCATACTGGTAAGATCTCTGTACTATTAGAGAAATCTAAGTGTTAAGCTGGCATGTGAATGAACACCATGGGCAATACGAAGAACTCTCAAACCACTCTCCACATTCTCTTGCAGTTGGACACTGTCACCCTGATATAGTAAAGGCAGCCCATGAACAGAATCAATTGTTAAATACAAATTCTCGTTACCTTCATGACAACTTGGTTGATTATGCAGAGAGACTTTCAAAAACACTACCTGAGAAATTATGCATCTTCTATTTTTTAAATTCTGGGTAAGTTGGGTTCATTAGAATTGATACAGGGGCTTTACTAGGTATATACAGACAAGTGCACCATTTCTTATCAATAACCAATTTCTGGTGTGGATGACTAGATAATGACAAAAACATAGGTTTGGTTGTGCAAGCTTTCTACCTGGAAACTAAACTTGTGCTTTATTTAAGAAGGGTTTTATTCTATTTGTAAGACCTTGGACCTCAAAACAGTAATATAAGTATTTGCTGTGTTAGTTTCTTGTCTGATTTGTCTTCTGACTTGACAGTTATTCTCAAAATTAAATGTACCAATGCATTGCTTCTGCTGGGGAGGGGGGGGACATATCCTTAAGCAAACTTCATCTGGAAGAAAAAAAACGCCAAATTTTTTCTCAGAAAGTAGTTCCTGTACTCAGTAGTTCCTATACTCTCAGCTTTTTAAGATGGATTCTATTCTGGTGAAGAGTCCTACCTAGTGAGTGCTGATTACTAAGAATGTGTGCGTAACATGCATCAAGTTCTGTTTTCTGCCGACACAAAGAGCAGTGCAGGGGAGGTTAGATTTCAAAATTCAAGGTGTCCACAATGAATTTTTCCATTGTAGATCTGAAGCCAACGACCTTGCCCTGAGGTTGGCACGGCAGTACACAAAACATGAGGATGTTATCGTTTTAGACCAGTGAGTACATTGGCAATCTGGGGCTACAAGGCTCCCTTTTGGCCCATGGTCAGAGCATTTCTGAAATCCTCCTGTAGTAGAAAGGCTGTAACCAGGAAGCTGAGGGAAGTAATTTTTCCCTCTGTTGAGTATTTGCCAGCCCAGCCCTGAGAGCTGTGGTTGGGCTCTTTGGGCTCTCCAGTACTTGCCAGCTGTTGACACACTGGAAGGAGGCCAGCAGTGGCCTGCCACCATGGGAAAGGAGCCACAGCAGGGAGAGGTGCTGGGTTTGTTCAGCTGCAAGAGACAGCCAGACAGATCTCACTGCAACTACAGCTGTGTCATGGCAAGGAGCAAAAAAGATGGGAGTCATGTGTGATGATGTATGGTGACAGGAAAAAATACCTCAAATATAAGTTCAGACCTGAGGAATTTTGATGAGACATAGGAAAAAGAAGTCTTTTGCCATGAAGGGAGTCAAATATTGTAAGAGGATGCCTACAGTCACTGGAAACTCCATTGTTGGAGGATGTTCAGAAATAGGCCCTTCCCATGGTTTGCAATCTTGTGCTACTGCTCAGGTGTTCCCTGCTGTGATTCCAGTCACTGGTACAGGCAAACCAGAGCTAAGTCCTGTCCCTCTGCATCCTTTATATGAAAAAAAAAAAATCCAAGTAGTACTAAGCTTATTGATAGAAAAGAAACTGCAGAGCTGTTCTCAGTTTAAGTTACTGAATTTCCTACCAGGTGGTAGCAGCTGGCTACTTTTTACTGTTTGGAATGCTAATACTATAGAAGTCTTGATACTGAGAAAATTACTGTTCAGTTCTGCCAATTGTTTTTAAGTGCTTACCATGGACATCTGACATCTTTGATTGACATAAGCCCATATAAATTCAGAAATCTAGAAGGACAAAAGGAATGGGTCCACGTGGTATGTACTGCAGCCTATTCCTATCAATTACTTGTCAATTGAGTGGAGTTGTTTGTATGATATATTGAATGTAGGATATTATTCCTTTGCATAGGCTCCTGTTCCAGACACATACAGAGGACTTTATAGAGAAGACCATGAAGATTCAGTAACAGCCTATGCTGATGAAGTAAAAAATATTATTGAGCATGCACATAAGAGAGGCAGAAAGGTAAGACATGATTTCCTGAACTGTTTGTTTTGTCTTAGAAATGAAGTGCAATTCAGAGTTACTAAACTAAGTGGTATGGACTCGTCAAAAAGTAAAGATCACAATTAATAATCAAAAACCATCTAAGGACAAAGCTTGCTCCACAACTGTCTGTATTGTGTTCAAACATTATATGCTGTGTTTTAGATTGCTGCATTTTTTGTTGAATCTCTACCAAGTGTTGGTGGTCAAATCATTCCCCCAGCAGGATATTTTCAGAAGGTTGCAGAGTAAGTGGTCATTCATTATCTTTTTTAACTTATCATATTTGGTAAATAGACAATTCTCTGCCTGCTGTGACATAGAACTTGATAGGAAGGAAATCACCCAAGCCTTCATGTTAGAATGTGAACTTTGTATATGGCAAAGATCTGCTTATAAACACACAGTATGGAATATAGATTTGTATACATTTGTTTCATCAAAGTTTGCAAAGTAACACTTTCTGCATGTTCCTAAACAGTAAATGCTATGTTCTCTTTCCTTTTAAGAGACAATCAAATCTGTTATGTTACAGGCATGTGCACGAGGCAGGAGGTGTATTTATTGCTGATGAAATTCAAGTTGGCTTTGGCAGGGTTGGCCAGCACTTCTGGGCATTCCAGCTTCAGGGAGAAGATTTTATACCTGATATTGTCACTATGGGGAAGCCAATAGGGAACGGGCACCCACTTGCTTGTGTAGCAACAACAAAAGAAATTGCGGAAGCGTTTGCGGCCACAGGAGTAGAGTATTTTAATACAGTAAGTAAACAGCTGCCCACTTCTGTAAAGGAGCCTAAGGATTAAAATTAGATACTCATGCTATGTTTTTATTAGCATTTACCACATAGTAACTAAAGAGGAACTGTGTCACTGTACTATTTCTGTGTTTCTTGTCTGTGACTCTATGTACTGGCTCCATCTGATAAAAGTAATAATATGCTCCTTGTATAACTGAGGCTACACTTTCAGTGACATGATTTCATCTTTCTTCCCTTTCCATGGCTCTGTGTGTTCCTTTCCTGAGCTCAGTTTGGTGGGAACCCTGTTTCATGTGCCATTGGATTAGCTGTGTTAGATGTAATTGAGAAGGAACAGCTTCAGGCTCATGCCACAGAGGTAGGCAACTTCTTGATGAAGACACTCAAAGAGCAGCAAATCAAGCATCCCATCATTGGTGATGTCAGGTATCTGTGCCTTATTTACATTTTTAGCTGCTTTCTCTTTGGTTCAGTCAGTCCAATATATGTTGTTTAGGAAAGAGCAGCAAATCAAGCATCCCATCATTGGTGATGTCAGGTATCTGTGCCTTATTTACATTTTTAGCTGCTTTCTCTTTGTTTAGAGAAATTAATAAAATTATGTGTTTTCAGCAGAAATAAAGAGCCTCCTGTACAATTAAGTAAAACAAACCTGAGCTTATCAGAAGTCTCATATACTTTGCCACTCTGGGCCACTACTTTTTATCAGTTTATTAGCTGCTAAAACTGTTGAACTGCTACTGTTCAAACTGCTGTTTGAACTCAAAGTTCAAGTGCATAGGGTACAGAAGTGATGAGCTAGATGGAAAACATGCTTAATATCCTGTCCTGCTCTACCAGTGTGAGCAGACAGAAGTCTATTGCTACATTTCTTCAGAACAGCAAAACTTTTTTTCTAACAGTAGCCAAACATCAGGTAATTCTCATGCAGTAATGGTCTAGTCTTAAAAAAAATCTCATTTTTTTAGTTCATTTATAGCCAAACATCAGGTAATTCTCATGCAGTAATGGTCTAGTCTTCCCTCATTTTTTTAGTTCACTTGTAGTTCCTTCCTCTGACACTGACTCTGGCAGACTGAGTGGTTTCATTTCTTTTACAGAGGTTGTGGCTTATTCATTGGAGTGGACTTAGTCAAGGATCAAGCAGAAAGGACTCCAGCCACAGCAGAAGCAGAGGATCTAGTAACAAGGTACAGGAGTTGGTAAAACACAAGGCCAAAACTGAAAGCAGTTGGTGTAGAAAGGCACTGTGTGACAGCCTGCAGGCTGGTGTTGGAAGTTTTCCTGAGCTGCATGCAAAGGTAAATGTAATTCTTTGTTATTGCTCTTTCCAGACTTAAGGAAAAATATATTCTACTGAGTACAGATGGGCCAGGAAGAAATGTGCTGAAATTCAAGCCCCCAATGTGTTTCAACATGGAGGATGCAAAATTTGTTGTGGAGACAATTGATAAAATACTAACAGGTAAAAAGTGATCAAAACCTTCCTGAAGACAATGCTGAGCTACTGAGCCTGATTTTCAGAAATGCTAAATTGGAGCCAAGATGGTAAATGCTGAGCACGTAGCCTTCCCTTCTCAGTTCTATGTGCTGAAGTTCTCCAACAAAACTACTAACTCTACAGATGCATGTACATTTTAAAATAGCTTTGCTCTGGCTGAGGTTTGAGTGTTTAGCTTATCCAAACATGCACAATTTGTGAAATATGTGCACATGTTCCTGAAAGCCATAATCTATGCACTTTTGCCACTTAGCTTTTTTATACAATTTCTTCACATTTAGCATTAAGAAAGTTAGTGTAAAAAATGTCACAAAGTCATGATTTTTCAAATTGTTTCTTATTCTCTCTCCAGATATGGAAAAAGAATGTCTGAACCAACAGAAAACACCTGTTTGTTCCACCTGAGCAGGTATTTACCTATATAATATCAGCACTATTTAAAAGCCAAGTTTCTAAACATAACTTCACAAGCACTGTCAGAATAAAGCTTCCTCAGAGATGCTTTTACTCAAAGTTTGCAGGAATTTCTGGGAATCTCCAAGCATGGACCACACTTGTGTACATCCAGTATTCACAACTGCCTTCCAATAGTCTGAGCCAGCAACCCTGTGTGCATCACTTGTTGTAAGCAAGGGCCAACATGTCCCAGACATGACTGTCTCTAGAGCATGCAAATGACTGCACAGCCACACAAACTTTCTGCTTGCTGCTCAGTGCCTTCAGGCTCCAGCTGCATAACCACTTCTCAGCAGATCTCCCCTCAAGTGTCATTTCAGGTTCACAGCTGCTTCTCATCCTTCAGGATCCATTTACCCCTAGACTCAAAAGTTTGTGGGTATCAGAATAAGATTGGTCTTTTTAAATCTTCAAAGCCTTGTTGTGTCTTCATCTGTTGAGGTCCCTCAGTAGGTTGCCAAGAGAACATCTAGCTGCAACTCAGTTTGCTGCTCACCCATGAGCACAGTGTACTCTTACAGTTAACACCTTGGTGACAACACCCTTTGGTACACTTAGCACTTCTTCAAACTACTCTGACTAAAAGACAACCACATGTTTGGTAGAACTCTGGACAGCTGGGCAGGAATGCACCTGACATGGTCATTGTGAGCAGTGTAACCATCGTGGCCTCAACCACCATGAGATTCACAGTGCTATGGCCCTGAGCTAAGGAGAAATATGTTTTTAGTTCAGTGTATATTAGTATAGCAGGCACAAGAAAAATGTGTTAATATTTTATTTAGCAAGTTAACGGAAAGACATACAGCTGTTTATACTACTTATTCTTAGGAACAGAAAGATTACTTAACAGTGCCAGTGTAAATTAGAGGCCTAATGACTTAATGTACTTATCTGTGATCTAAACTAAGCAAGAAAAATGCCTTTATTTTCTACAGGAAACCTAGAATGCAAAAAGCCTCTTACTAAGTACAATACTAGTAAGACACTTACATATAATGTAAGCGAAAATGAGGCAATGAAATAATTTCTTTTAATGATACTTTTACAAAAAAAAACCCATAACATTATTATCTTTCCATAGGTTTCAAACAATGTTCAAGATCTACTACTAAGAAACATTATTCTACTATAATAATGCACATTTAATCTTCATCCTAGTATATCTTAGACCAGATAAGTTACCTTTGATTTTTCTGTTTTCATTTATCTTGATTTTAGTAAAAGCTCTAGGAGAAATAAATTTTACAAGAGCTTGTCTCAACTCTGGCAGTGTGGAATTGGTTTTTATTTAAAACTGCATATCTAAAACTGATTATAAAGGAGGATTTTTCTAATGGCCACTACAAAACACATTTTCTAAATTTATGTACTTTCAGGTTATGACATTTCCAAATCAGGATGAGCCAATGGGTGTTCTGATATTTTCAAGTCTTCAGCTACCTATGCAAACACCATTCCAGGTGCCAGTACTCCCAGTCCCACCCAGGACTCTGATGAGTTTCAGCAGCCAGTGTCAGAACAAGGTCCCTAAGTAGCACTATATTCAACACACACTCTCAAGCCACCAGGTTAAGTCAAAAACTTCAGTTCCAAATTCCTAACATCAAACACATGAGGGACAGACAGCTGAGGGCTGTGGCTCCCAAACCACTTCTTACAAACACAGTCTGTCCTCGAGAAATATCCAAGTGGGATTAGTAAATTAAGAGCAGTTTACAGCCATAAGCAACAACCTTGTGTACAAGCCTTTACTTTCACCAGGCAGTTCTTTGTATCACAAACTTTTCATGCAAAGAAGAAAGGGAAAAGCCAGCTCTGCATTTAAGTACCAGTATCCTCAGTTCCTGCCTAAGGCCACATCACCTGTTAAGGAAGCATCACCTGAGCACCTACTTACAAAAACCACCACAAGAACACCAGCTGACACACTCTTGCTAGGACACCACTAGCCAGAAGGACTGCAGCACAATGCTCCTGCTATCATGCCATTTTCCCACTGGAGGGCCAAGTGCTTGCTAGAAAAATATTCTGCTGCCCCTTATTTCACAGAAAAAATATTTAAAGTACGTAATAAAGTATTTAAATTTTAAATCTTGAGACAGTAATACTTCTAAATACTGTACTCATTTGCTTCAGTGATCTGCTGTTTTTTTATTTGCAAGTAATTTGGGCTGGAGGTTACATGGTCCAGCTGTAAAGTTGTCAACTACAAGATTTAAAATCTGATTTTTTTTTTCAATACTCAAGACTTCCACCTAATACCAGAAGAGCCTTACACACTTCTAACTTACAAGCAAGTTTTTCTTTTCAAAGACAACCAGCAGGGAGCAGCAGATTATAGTCCATGCAGAAATAGCTGCATCCCTTGTTAAAAAAACTGGAAAGGTCACTAGTAACATGCATTTGTTTCTTGTCTTAGTTACTTGGTTGATTCCACTTCCAGGTGTTACTTGTTCAAAAAGAATTTGTTACAAGAAAAAAATACCACCAGATTTTAGCTTTAAAAGGAGATTAATATCAAACTGATCACTGCAACAAAGATTAGAAGTTTACTTTGTGGAGTAGAGCTTGCTGCTTATATTCTGCAACAAGACAGGCAAATCACATGACAGTTACTGCCTTAAAATAGCAGTAAAGTAAAAGTAAAAAAAAAAAAAAGGTATTTCTAGCTGGTCACTCATCTCTAGAGAAAGAGATGTTTTTTCCACCCACACTGGAAGTTCTTTTAGCCTTTTCTATTATACAAAAGGCTGCAAAAACTCAGACTTTGCATTGGTAATGTAATGTCTGTCCAACCTGCCTTTCAAGGCAGGTATACACAGCCCACTAACAACTTGCAGACAAGTCTCAAGACAGAATCATGAAATATGGAGGAAGTGCAGCCAGCTCCTTGCACACCTCTTGACTCCCTCCTGCAATGCTGTCCAGACTCCCAAGCCCTACCTGAACCCTACAGCTCTGGCTCCTCCTAGCAGAGCCCAAAGCAGGCACCACTGCAGTTACTTGGGAGTCTCTGTGCTTGCCTAGAGCAGAGCCACAGCCTCACCAGCACAGCCCCACCACAGCTGGGGCTTCTCACCTGAGCTCTCCTCCACAACCTCCAGGCAGAAGTGACAGCAGATTTTAGCTGCCACTTAACTGCAAGTGAGCACAACTACCAACAGAGCCTTCTAGTTTTAAGATTAAAAACATTAAAGCACAACTCTTACTCTATCAAGGTACTGCCATGAACTAAGTTCTGGGAACAGGATACTGGTGTTTTACTAACACATGAGCTGAAGAATGGCACAAGACACTAGATTACGCCTTTTTTATTTCAAAAGCTAGGATAGCTTCAATATCCATGTCATGGTGAATCAGAACACATGTAAAATACCTTACAATACATTAGATTCCAAAAAGGTACCAAAAAGTACAGTAAAATTAACACTTCCATTACAGGAAATGTATGACACAAAAACAATACAAAATAAAAAGGTGGAAAGTGACACTGGTTCCCTAAGATGCATCTCATTCTGTACAACTGGAGTAATGCAGAGTCCACAGTTAACTCCAAGAGGCAGTCCCTAGATGCAGAGCTGCAGCTTTAAGCAGACCCTCAAAATCAGTTTCAGTTTAACCTATTAATAAAATCATTAATTAATATCTTCAGCAATGCTGAAAATTACACACCACACTGTCTAGACAACTAGTTATTGGTATTAAACATGTAAAACATTTCCAGGGAGCTCTTCCAAGTAAGATGCACATTTAACAGGCCATAGAAATTTATTGTAAAGTTAAATTTGGTACAGAACTGAAGTATCCATCTACAGCATTGTATACAAAACCTATGCAGTCATTTTCCAAAAGAGACCATGCCACTGCATACCTGAATAAGTTTGATCAATATGGCTTGTAGTTATTCTGATGACCACCACGTCTTGGTGTCTTCCCATAATTTGCACTGCCTTGACCTATGAACAAGAAAACAAATGCATTAAACTGCTAATTAGTTATGCTTGCTTATACCCAATACAGTTCTCTTTACTTACTGTAATCATAGCCTGGTCCATATCCATAATACCCATATCCTGAATAATCATAGCCTCCATAGCCACCATAACCTTGCTGATAGCCGTATCCTTGATTCCCATAACCCTGGTTCCAGTAATTGCCATAACCTTGATTCCAATTTTGACTTTGAGCTATAGAAGGGAAAACCATCCACAAAATCCCATTTTAGTACACACAACTTATTTAGAATGTGTCCATACTAAAGTAGTGTGTGTGGTACTTACCGCCGCCTCTTCCACCTCTGCCTCTTCCTCCATAGCTACCTCTTCCTCCACCACTACTGAACTGTTGCTGCTGGTACACTTCTTTTGGCTGTGCTACCTTAATCTCACACTGCAAATAAAAAACAAGGAAGAGTATGTAAAGTGTCTCAGAGCAGCACTGCCCCACCTTAGCAGCTGGAGAAGCCAGAGGTTCCTCTGGAGGCAAAGGAGGTGTACGTGCTGTGCCCCGTCAGGTGAGCAGCACTAATGCACACCCAGGGACATCTGATTTATTGTGCTACCTGGGCAAAGGTAAGTCCCTGTCAGCCTTTCCAAGAGGCCACTGCTTTCAGGGCATTTTATCCTGCCAGTTCCCTACCATCCGCCTCACCATGGAGAGGTGCTGAGGCCACCTCTCCTGCAGGAGCCACAAGGCTGTCCTCTCACCAGGGACAACCTCCAGGACAAGGCTGCTGCTGTCAGACTGCTTCACCTGAGCTGCACTGAATGAACGAGCTTCTGAGAACTGCACCAGAAGCTTTCCTGGCAGCCACTGTACACCCTACACACTGTGGATGTGGATGGACTGTACCACACCCCTACCAACACCTAAAATCACCATTTATCAAATACTAACAGGTAAAACCAACCAGAACTGACATTTTCAAGGCAGGTTCCCAGGCTGCAGTTCAAGCTGTCAGCCAACTGCCAGGTTCCTGGATCTATGCACAGTCCAAGATTAAAGGCTACTGTGCTGAAAATGAACAACAGCACCTGAGCAAGCCTGGCCTTTACTACAGGACCTTTAAGGTAATCTGCTTTTTATTATCTATGGCTATAACACAAAAACAAGTCATAGATATGATACAGGAATTTCTCAGCTCTCTTGGCATTTAGGCATCCATCTCTCCTAAAACAAACTTCACTGCTAACCAGTGACTTTCCCACTGCATTAGGTTTGTCAAAATTTCTTCTGTATTAAGAGCAGTCCTAAATCACAGGCAATCCAAGTCAGTCTCAGACAGTATGATCCAGTGTAATAAGGCTCTGAAGTTATGTGGTCAGCACTGGCCTCAAAGCAAGGGAACAGGGACACCTCAAGCCAGTACACATCATTTGCCTCCAGTCTCTCTCCATTTGTTGATCCATAGTCTCTCTCCATTAGCTGTTCCCTCAGATGAGCAGTCAGCTGCTCAGAGCACCTCACACCACCCTTACAGTAGCTCCCATAACCAAGCACAAGCTTCCATAAGTGTACATTCACTCCCTGGATCCTTGTAGTATGTTTACATGTAGTATGTTTACAAGGTTTGGGTAGCAGGGGGGCTGCAGAAAGGGGCTCCAGAGAGAAGAAAGCAGAAGCTGTCCCCCAGCAGACAGAGCCACTTTCAGCCAGATGCTTGCAAAATTGGGCATCTGCAAGGCTTTCCTTTATGCAAGTGCTCTATGCTGAAAATAGGCATCTACCTGCTGGAGTGGCTAACACTGCTGCACTAACACATGAACCAATTTCTCCACATATATTTCATTAATGCAATTAGATATTGAGCATACAAAAAGCCCTAAAATACAGCAATGACAAGAATTGTCAAAGAGCTTTAGTAGCCTCTGTGACAGAACTCAGGGCAAAACTTCAAGCTGTCCTTATTGTAAATTTGGTACTTTGACACAAGAGGTCTACAAAAGCCTTTTCAGGTTATAGATGTAGAGGTATTATCCATGCACAAAGAGTTACAAGTCAGAGTTTCTACCTTGCTTCCACTGACGTTATGGAATTTCTTCTCCAAAACCTTCTTCACTGGATCCTCTTCCTTGAAAGTGATGAACACAAACCCCCTCCTTTTGTTGGTCTTTGGATCCATTGGCAGTTCAATTGCTTCAATCTGAAGATGCAAAATACTATTTTCAGACTCGTGTTTTAGATGAACAGTTAAATGCACAGAAACTGGGACAGCAAAACTGTAAATTTTCTCTTTATGCGTATTATGCAACACTGAAGTTGCAAGCCCTTCTATGCTAACAGTGGCTTTCAGAGCCAAGATTTCCATGCTACAACTCTTCAAACTGGTTTTAAAATGCTTCAAGACAAGAGTCTCTAGCAATGGAAGCACCTAGTGCAGTAAGTGCCACCTTTGCTCTCAAGCTGGGAAAGTTCTGGATGTTACAGAAGACTTGATACATCTGAAGTTAACTTACTTTAAAACTTGCAAATTATTAATAAACTAAACAGCAACTGGAGACTATACTTTCAGAGTTTGCTAAGATACCATTACACACCTCTCCAAACTCTCCAAAGTATTCCCTGATTTTCTCTTCTGTAGCTTCTGGGTTTAGCCCACCAACAAATATTTTCTTCACTGGATCCTTTTTCATTGCCATGGCCTTCTTGGGATCAATTAGTCGTCCATCTAGTCTGTGTTCTTTCTGTTCCAGAACCTAAAAGACAGTTTGTTATGATTAACTCAAGCTGAAAAGTTTCCCCTAGAAGTTAAAGATCTAAAATACTAAGCTTAAATTCACCTTTTCAACACTCCCAGGTTCTTTGAAGAGAATAAATCCAAAGCCTCTGGATCTTCCTGTGTTAGGGTCCATCTTTATCGTACAGTCGGTTACCTCACCAAATTTGGTGAAGTAATCTTTCAAGTCTTTTTTGCTTGTATCCCAACTGAGGCCACCAACAAACATCTTCCTGAAATTTCAAGGAGAGAAGAGCTATTCAGATTCAGGAAGCACTAGAGAAAAGCAGATGCAGTAAGATGCTCAGTGGTACACACCTCAGCAGCATTGTCAGAACAGGACTGTCTGTTCCAGGTGCAACACCTGCATCCTGTCAAAAGCTGCTGATATTACAGGAGTGCACAAGGGTGGGCTTCTTCCCCCTCTTTCTGAGGGAATGCCACAATGCACCCTGCCATTCTTTAGAGGATACAAAAATTAGTAAGAATAGCCTGAAATACTCCTTGCCAGTAACTTAGGTTCTTAACAAAAGTATTCTATAATTTGCCAGAAAGCAGTATTATCAAGTACTGCCAACTCAGTTTTTGCAAAGAACTTAGGATCATTCCTACTGCTCTGAAGGTATTCAGCAAATAATGTATCAAAAGCAAAGTATTTGAGCTCTCTTAGGTTTTGGTTAAACAGCTGTAAAAATTTTAGTCCAGGTATCTGTGACCTCCAATAACAGTCACATACAACAGATGGGACTTTGGACCTGCCTTAACTACTATGTTGTGCACTTCTTCCTGCTTAGTTACTGACTCTAGCTCTGTCTTCCTCAGTACTACAGGAGTCTCTCCATCCCCAGCCTTTAATTCCAAGTAGGTGGATACAGTTCTTCCCTGCCCACTTTCCCATACAAAATACCCTCTGAAGGAGGATATCTAGCTCAAAGAACTAAATTCAAGGCACAATACTGAAGTGAAGCTTACAAACCAAACAGTGATAGCAGGCAATGAGGCATTTTTCAAATGCTTCACTTCAAATGAAAACATTAATAACATGGCTGCATTTTCTATTTTCATAGTTTCCAAGGTAACAAACTAAGCTTTTAAAAGCATTCGAGCCTTTTATCTAACTATAGACTGAAGCAGTTTAAGTTGTCATTAGTCTTGTTTGGAGGCAACCTAGACTGGCACTAGAAGGTAGCAGCACTTCAGAAATTAAACTGTGCTAAAATAAAACTGGCTTTTGGTGTTTATGTGTAACTTTGCAATAACTGGCATCTGTTTATGTACAAGAGGAAATGGGGGAGGGAACCCTAATGGGGTGTTTTCCCTTTTTTCTTAAACTGGGTGAAGCCAAACCCTTTATCTGCTGTAGTGAAGTTTTTTCAGCAGCCCAAGCCGTGCACCCTTGATGAGTGCAGCAGGAAGCACCGGCTCCGATGCAGCGTGTGCTTCCTGCAGCCATTCAGCAGAGCCTTGGAGGAACGGCCGAGCCAAGTTTATTCACCTTCCAACACTAGGGCAAGGAAAGGGGCTTGGGGAATTCCTTCCCATCCCAACCGCTGACCGTGGCTGCTCTAACCTGTACGGACAGACAGGCTTTCCACAGCACACCCTGCCATCGCTGACCACACTTACAGAGCAATCAAAAGATTGGGAGATGACAGGAATTTGTCTGGAGGCAGCTTTGGCTGCCTTATGGCATTGCCACATGCTAAACTCGCCTCTTACCACAGCACTTTGTGTTACACTTTGCAATTTGCAGTGCTTTGTTTTGTAACTGGAAAAACTGATACCTAATTTAAATAACACAATATTTAAAACTTTTGAACCTTTGAAACTGAGACCAAAAACCCGGTATTTGGCTTTTTCTTTAGAGGTCACAAACTGGAGAACTGCACCCTTAACACGCAGTCATTTTTCCCTCTTGAGTGTATTTGTGCAGCTAAACTGAAGCTTATTTTAGCTCATAACAACACCGTAAAATCAGCGCCTTGGACAGCATTACATTTTTCACATATATCAATCCCTCTGAATAAGTGCTGTTCTAAGAAGTTTCATTTCACACGATTTAGGGCTGAAGCTTGTCATCTCCTGTTCATGAAAGGAAAATATCATCGTCCTTTTTTCAGCACAAAATACTAGAAACACTAAAGAAAAATTCGTACAGAGCTGAAAGGCCTGGTCTGCAATCCTTCCAGTGTCTGCACAGAGTACATCCGGCCCCAGCTCGTGGGAAGCTTGTGCAAGTGTTACTCATTCCTTTATGGTCAAAAATCTACTACACTGCCTTCAGCGCTCTGTTTAACCTACGGGATCTGACCCTCTGGTTCAGAGCTCGGCGGTAACAAAGGGAGTTCCAATTAAATACATGGGGTAGCCTGAATAACAAAGACCTGCTTGAGAAATAGCCAGGCAATGTTCGTGTCAAGTACGTGTGTTTATGAACAGACCGATTACGATAGGAAAGAAATTCCTCCTGTATACACAAGGATTCCGCCACCAAAGCACAGCGAAACTACACTGACTCTTCCAGAAATCCCTTGCAAGACTTAAGGCATTTTCTGACAATGCTGCAAAGTAGCACACCAAAATAGCTCTTACCGATTTAAACACACCGCGCTTTATCTCAATCGTGCTGATTTTCCTTTTACTTCCCTTAAAAAATACTAAGGTTACCCCCGCCGCCTTCCAAGGCCAGGATTATTTTTTATGTGCTTTACAAAAAACATTCACATTTACATCGACGCCAGTGGCGATGGGCCATGCGATCCCCGCAAAGTTTCAGCCAGCCCCCCTCCCCCAACAGAAAGCAACTCCTTCCATCCGCCCCTTTCGCTAAAGAGGGAAAGGATGAAGAAAACGCGGGAGAGGTAAATCCCCTTCCATTTTACAGCGTGAGACGGCAACAGCCCCGCTCGGCGCCCCTCCCCCAGCCGCCACATGGCGCCAACAAAAGGCAGCGCCAGAACAAAGGAAGCGCTGGTGCTGCAGGGCCCCGGCTCGGCGGGGCCGCTCCCGCCGCCCTCCCCGCCGGCCCGAGCGGGCCCGGGGGCGCTGCCGCCGCAGGGCCGCCCGCCGCCGCCGCCGCTCCCGCTGCTCCTGCCGCTCCCGCCGCCGCAGCGGCCGCGCCGGTCTCGGCCTGCTGCTCCCCGGCGCTCTCGGCCGCTTCGTGCCCGTTCTGGGTGGCGCCGGCCGCCAGCTGCTGCTCCGCTTCCGACATGGTGCCCCGTCCGCAGAGGCAGAGGGACGAGAGACGCCTGCGAGAGACGAGCGCGGGTCAGCGCGGCGGCTCCTCCCCGGCCGGGCCGGTCTGATCCGGTCCGCTCACACCCCTCCCCCTTCCCGCCGCCGCCATCCCGCTCGTACTCACTTTTAAAATCCGCTCCCGATAAAACTCGGGCTGACCGAAGTCTAATTAAAACCGCCCCGCCACTGGTGCTGGAGCCGATCCCGCTCGCCGCGGCTGCTCCGCACCGGCCCCTCCGCCACCGCCGCCTCCCCCTCAGACACGTACTCGGGCCCGCGCCCGCGACGCGTGGCCGCCTTTATACCGCCGGAGCCTGCGCCACACCGCAACAAGGCGCGTCCTGGTTGGGCCTTGCTGCCTGTCACTCAGGGGGTTCTGCGCTCGCTACTGGCTGCACTGCCGGGGAGGGCGGGGCCACGCGGGGAGAGGCGGGCGAGGCGGGCCCGGGAGTTGCCGGCGGGATCGGGATCGGGATCGGGATCGGGATCGGGATCGGGATCGGGATCGGGATCGGGATCGGGATCGGGATCGGGATCGGGATCGGGGCCGCGCTCCCAGCTCGGTGCGGTGCGGCCGCGGGGAGCCGGGCCCGCGGGCTCCTCAGGGAGGCTCGGGCTGCGGCCGGGGCGCCGTGCCCCGCTCGCAGTGCCGCCCTGGGTTAGCCCGGGGTGTGTTGCGGGCACTGAGTCAGTTACTCCAGGGCGAGAGGTTTGCTTAATGTTTCCAGCTCTGCTGGTTTTGCAACCGAGAGGGGCCGGAGTTTGTTGTTCTTAAACTTAGATTTGGGTATTACATAACTCGGGGCTGGAGCGCTGAGCACGTGCCCGGGCCTCAATTCCTTGTGCCCAAGGATATGTCAGCCTAGTTGGTGAGAAGTCCAGAAGGCAACTGCTCCCTGTAACCATACAATGTTTTACGGCACACAGCTCCTAATGTCGTGTTTGTCCATGCCAAAGGGGCAGATTTTGCCTTCTAGATGTACAGGTAAAGCTTACACGTCTTTAAATAAAACTGAAAGTTAAGCCCTTTGCTTGTGGGCAAGAAGTAACAATTACTACCTAACTTGGTGCAGTAATGAGTGCACACGTTAATGCTCCACCCTCTGTCAAATACGGCTTGTGGCTCAATTTTAATCTGCTGTTAAAACTCAGGAGTGCCCACAGCCATTTGTGAATTGAACCAGTGGAGAAACATTTTAAATGATCTGGTCTGGATCATGAAGCTTCAGATGAGCTGCTTTTAGAACACTTTTTATCCTAAATACAGTAGGTCAGAATTCATCTTTAGGGATGCCTGTCTCAGCATAGGGATGCCTGTCAGTAGCCAGGGTAAGGTATGCTATACACAAACTCTCAACCACAACTTTAGGCTGAACTTTGTAAAAAAAACATTCTATGAGGTCAGGGCAGTAAAGATAGTAGAGAGAGCAGGGACAGTACACTTGAAAGTTGTAATGTCCTCAGGAGAGGTTGTAGATGTTGGCTGATACAGATGCTCATCTTCATGAGAATATATTTTTATATTGTTTTCTTGTATTGAAATTTTAATAGAATGTTAGAAGCAAATAATTTTTATAAGATACCATAAATGATACTATGTCAGAGGAGCTTACCCCACATACAGCAAGGGGGCTTCTTGTGATTTTTCAAGCAGCTTTGGCTTAGATTTTAAACCCCTCAGGTCTGTACCAAAAAGATGTGGTTTGTGATTACAGCCATCTGTCTGTCAGCTAAGTGCATTCCCTTAGCCTGTGCTGACAGCCTGCCTAGTGGGACAGCACCACACCTTTGTTTGGGTCACGGGCAGCCAGGGCACAGGCTGCACGGCTGAAGTGGTGATTGCCACTGCCCTGGCTCCTGCCCACCTTCTTTGTGCAGCCTTTTGTGCATGCAGCTGTGGCAGGTGACTGCAGAAATGCATCTGTGCTGAAATTACAAGTTTACAGAGCAGAACCTGAGAGTAAACTGAAATTTGCAACACTTTGGCATGGGTCTGTTAGGCTCAGCTGATGGGTATAACCT